TGCGTCTTATTGGAACTCTCAGGTCCCTTCGAGACTCGGCTAACTGGAAAACCCTGAAAATGGTATATCTTGCGATATGTCAATCCGTCACAGGATATTGCATTACGGTTTGGGGTGGCACCCATAAGACACTACTTCTTAGATTGGAGAGAGCACAAAGAGCTATTCTAAAGGTAATGTCAAAAAGCCGTTGAGATATCCTACATCTCAATTGTACACCGATTGCAAAGTGCTAAGTGTTCGCCAGCTGTTTGTGCTCCAATCAATTCTAAGGCAACATAGTGGTCTTCCCCACCCTAATCCTGAGAAGCATAGGAATTTACTACTAAGTGTCCGACGCAGAACCGCTTTCGCAAAACACCACTTTTATGTACTGGGCTCCAATATATACAAAAAAACACACAAATAATTAAAAATACTACGTTTAAATAGGTATACAGTTTAGCAAAAAGTTACAGAATGGCTTCTGAAACAAGACTACGGAGTCGTTACTAATGTACCTCAAATATGAAATAGCCTCACACTAAATTATATTATGTACTCTAGCTCATTTGTAGGATCTTCTGCGCCTACACACACGTACACGCACGCCCACACACACACACACATACACACGTAAACGTCCAACTGCATATTATCTATCGAAAGACACAACTCCAACAGAACTAATATAAGATGAATCTGTAAGGCTGAACACTGTCTCTTAAGATACAGGTAACTCACCTAGTTTAAGGTACAGAGTTTCACATCTCAAATACAAAATTGTAAATTCTTATCAACTGTGTATTCGCATATGTATATATTTGCGTAAATAAAGTATTATTATTATTATTTCATTAATCTCGATGTAAACATGTCGTTTTTATGTAATTTACGTTTTATTCATGGCAAGTTTAGAAAACGTAAGAATACGTTTTGTTAACAAAATTTGGACGTTTAGTTATTGCAGTTGTATCAGTTCTTTAAAAGAGTTTATGTACTTATAGCATAGTTCTAAAAATATAATAATTACATGAAAATAGTTAAGATGACTCACTTTATAAACGGTACAAATCTCATTACCATCCATCATATATTACTAGGAATATAAGATCTGCCCTTTTTAAAAATTGTCCTTGTGATTTCACATTTTGATCGATTGATCTGTATAACGTTATTTATTTAGTAGATATTTATACTAAATGTTAGTGTCTCTGGTTTGTGTTTCTGTTGTGATCTGAGGCAGGTACAGTCGATCATTTATTATGCAGAACGTCAGGATTTAGGAGCCAAATAAAATGCATTTACTAAACCCACTCAGTTACCTTACCTCCTCCAAACACACTTGCTACTAAATATTGTTGGAGTGGAATATAAATTTTGACTTGGCAATTCACGCTCTTAAATATAGATTCATGAGCCACATTAAGTGTTGTCAATATACTCGTAGCAGCATAGCTTTCTTGTTTTTTGTCGCTTAATAACGCGAAAACCAAGAGAACTGTGTTTATTTTTGCCATTGTACCTCCCAAATGACCTACACTTACGACAGCATTTGAAAGTCCCGTCAATAAAGTATTCATTGACCAACATCATTTCTCTTACCTCTCACCTTTATATACAAAAAAACCAAGATTCCATAAATAATTCATATGAATAATCTTCAATACAAAAACTTATTTTTATTGGTCAAATTTTATTTTTTATCATCCATCCATCCATCGTTTGTATCTGTGGAAGAAGTTGTCGGCAGCGGTATTTCCGGACCGATACGACCTTCAAACCTTCAAGAAAAGAGCTTACTTTCATGCGGCGGTCGTCGCTTTCCATCAGGCAACGCGACTGCTCGCTTGCCCACTCCATAAAACAAAAAAAGTTATAGTTCTACCCATATCTTTACGAAGCATCCACTAACTTGATTCATCATTGATCATCCAATTGGATTTAGCGTGGACAATTTCCCTTCGGACCCATCTAATCCATTGAAATGTTACATCTTTTGAGGATTAAACTCACAGTCAAACAATATTTCATAAAAAAATAATCATTCATCATTTATGTAGTCATAGATTAACACACACAATAGTAACAATCTCTGTTTTGTCGAGATTTTAACAACTTAGTAAGCAAAATAAATTTAATAAAAATTAAACTTGGTCAATTGTAAGCCAGAGGTAGACCATTCTCTGTGTAGCGTTACCTTAAACGTGTGGCGGTTTTTGGTGTAAAAATGATGTTAAATGTTAAAGAAAAAGTTTCAAAAAAGCTATTATAATAAGTGTTAGGATTATTCTCTACGCAGAGTTCTGAACCCTTAAAAGCAGCTTGACGTTTTGATCAATTGATCAATCATTAAGTTTTCACAACGCTTTAAGTTTTCGCAACGCTTTGCAGTTTTAGGTATCACCACAATTCTTTTTTTGCCACCTTTTCATACCTACCCCAGAAAGATAATGATTGACCACAGTGGTCAAAGTGTAATTGATTGATTATTTTCTGTTGTCCAAACATGTGGCAGTGGTTGCAGTGATTCGTGTAGGCACTAAGAACAAGTTTATTATCAAATATTTTATAAACGTACCTTCATAGCTTTTAGTTAGTTAATTTAAATTTTGTATTATCATTAATAATTTTTCATTTAATAAATCACTATTAATTAATCACTATTAAACAGCGTGGTATAGTAGGCTAAAACCTCCTTTCTAAGGAGAGGCCTATGTCCAGTAGTGGACTATTAAAAGCTGTTGATGTGAAATCACTATTTCTTTACTATGACGTCACATATCTTAGGAACTATCTTGGCGCATTTCATCTCGTGTGTATCTCACTAAGCGCCCTGTCTCAGTCCCCTTTGTCGTCATACCCCCGCGCCCCTGTTACCGCGCAGGCGAGTACTCAGATAAACGGTCGGCCTATACACTACACTACGAGTACTACCTGCTGTCCTTTTGTACTGTCCTTTAGTAAAATAATATACTTTCATTTAGGATAGGTCTATATTCAGGTTTTCTTAGTTACATCCATAAAATACAACAATAACAATAAACTTTATAGAATAGGTACAATACAAATTTAGAATGAGTTTAAAACTCATATTCAATAAGCAGCCACTAGAATCGACTAAATCAGAATTGAACGACGCTCGCGAAGTCGAACATGAATGGACGCTATTGAATATGAAATGGGTAAAACTGTTCTCTGTACAAGGTAGGCCCGCTTGCAAGCTCAACATACGTATTTATTTGATTTATTGATCAACCAAAAAGGTGCAGTCAATTGTGCCCAAATTTTCTTTTTTAAGAGACATGTTGAGACGTGAGCAGTTCCTCTGAAGTCGCGGCGACTTCAGCAGAGTCGCAGCCGCGTGAATAGGGAAGTGTGATCATATATTTGAATAAATAGAAAATTGCTCAAAGCTATTCACCGGTGCCTAATCTCTTAGTTGAAATGGTCTTCCTGATTAAATGAGTATCGAGAGAATCATTCAGGAAGACCACTTAATATGAGAATTTGAGAAATCAACATATTTTCATGTCACTTCACAAACACTTTCCCTGTATTTTTAAAACAATACATAGTCTCTTTTAAACTAGTACTACAAAAGACTTAAATAATTGTGAAAAGTTAACATTGATATAGTAACATTTGATATAGTACTATTTTGGGCTGTACATATCTGCAAAATCTATCATATGGGTAATCAATTACGAAACTTTATCAGCCAACTAAACTCTTCGATAACCACAAGCCAACTAGAAAGATTTTAGTGCGACTATGGCAATTTTGACATATTATACGCAGACAGTTTGGAAAGCTACATTAAGCATAAAAAGTGAGCAATATAAAGAATTAATAAATATTATTATTATTATTATTAAACACTAAGTTTAATAAATATTTAGAACTACCAACTTAGTTTTATAACGCAAATGTTCAGGTTACAATTGGAATCCTAAGTTGATACCTCTTTTACAAGATATTCGTATAATATGCATTATGTCTAGTAGCCGCACGTATTCACTGTAGTACTCTAGCAAGCTTAACAAAAACATGACAAACGAGAACGATTTCTTGCAGGGCCTTAATCATTATTAGGGTCAGATATGTTTCGTAGTACAATGATGGTACAAACAATTGTTTTACATAAGTTTAGATTCCAATTTATTTGTGGAGATACTATGACTCTGGAATTTCAGTAACTATAGTTCTGTGGCCAATGTGGAAAATATTATCTGCAAGATTTATTCCCCAAATTCTATACCTCCTTTTCTATACCAGAATTAGATGGCTAAGTTTAAGATATAAAAAATGGTCCATAAAGTACAAATAATATAAGATTTGTAGTCATAAAAATAATTATTCTCAATATTAAGACTTTTAAAAGCTCAATAATTAGGTTTTTAAGGTTTTATTATACTTCAGCAAGAGCATCCCTCTTGCTTTAAATAATTTATTTTTTGTTTTGATTAGTAGGTAGGTAGGTTTTTTAAATACAATGATTGTAATTAACAGAAATGTTAAAAAATTCATAGTAAGAATTTATTAACCGACTTTAAAAAAAGGAGGAGGTTCTCAATTCGACTGTATTTTTACATTTTAAGTTTCAGCAACAGATCTGTAAAATCAATGGGCTTATTTTACCTATACCTATGTTTTTTGCTAAAGTCCACACGTTTGTACGTCCAACCTCTGTTTTATATCTATTAGTAGGACATATTTTGACTAAATACTGGTTTTGGTATAGGTTTTGTAAGAAATACAATCCTCGAGTCAACGTAAGTTGTCAAAGGACAACCTAAGGTCAAATTTTGAAAAAAATAAAAGTATATTTACACAACTTTTTTACACACACATATATATATACAAGTGTATATTCTACTTTTATGTATGTGGCCCATTAATAATATTAGCTAATCTATTTATCAAAAATAATAACCTAATACCTAGAATTAGAACACAATTAGAACGCAACACTGATATAAATATATAAAAGAAAAACCATGTAAAATAACCTACATCTACTACTTCAATAATGCTTGAGCGCTAAAGAAGGTTCCCGAACAACACAATACACAGCCCACAACGACAATAATAATGTTCTTGACGAGACGCCATTTCATAACACCAAATCCAGGGTGATGATATATTACAGCGGTTTCAATTAAAGCTGGAAATATGAAACCCATGTTCGATAGACAAAACGAACCCATCTGAAAAATAATAATTTATTAGTGTGTTATGTTATGCATACTGTTAATACTTTTTATATGTATCATTTCTTACATATTAGTTGTACGAGTACATGCGCTCCATAATCTACTCCAGTACTCGTACATGTGGCAACTACTTGCTCAGAAACCACACCTTACATCATAACAAACTGAGGTCGTTTGTTAGACCAAAACAAAAAAAGGAGGTAGTTTTTTAGACAGATGCGTGAAAATAAACAAATGTTTCCTTTTCGCGGGGTATAACGACTAAATAAGCGATTTAGGCGTAAAAATAGCAGACCTAATACGATATAGATCAAATCGCGAGTTAGCCATAAGAATAGCTAAACCTACTATGATATAGATCAAATCGCGAATTAGCCATTAAGAAAGTTAGACCTACTACGATACAGATCAAATCGCGGGTTAGGTATAAAGATAGTTAGACCTACTACGATATATTATCTTTTACCTATGAAATGCCGTTTTGTATGCAATAAGTGAAAGTACTTATTTTTTTCAAACTTTTTTATTTCTGTTATTCGAAGTAATCACCCATGCAATCGACGCATCTTTGTAAACGCATTGGCAGTTTATTGATGCCCTTCTTGTAAAAATTTGTACTTCCTCTCGGGAATTGGATTTTTTACCCACTAAAAACTTGTCTAAATTTTGGAAAAAGTAATAGTCGGTAGGTGCAATTGTAACAAAAATACAAAATACGAAAGTATTTTGTATTTTTGTATTCCGAGCAACGGCTCGAAATAACTAGATACCTAAATACATATATGATTCATATAACTTGGCTTAGGCGAGGTGAATATACTCGTCCTCCACCTCATTTTTACGATCCAGTTAACGCAACTTCTGACAATCTGCTGAAAGGTTGTCCAACCCGAGAATTTCGAATCGAATTCGAATTTCTGACATTCCTACAACATAGTTCGATTGTGTTGCTCGATCAACCCCACAATGTGGATTTTTAAATACAAAGTTTTCGATTGATCATACGATGTGGAATTTTATATCCTCATAGTTCGATCGATTACATAATGTGCAATTAAATATCCTCATAGTTCGAACTATCGCACGATGTGGATATTGAAATTCTATAGTTCATTAAAAGTAAAAAACGCAACACATTCGTTCTTCTTAAAAGTGGTGTTAAGTTCGGGGAAAAACGTAACTGGCGAATAATGCCACTAACCTTTTAAAACTCGTGTTCATGATATCAAACAAAATATTCGCAAATAATATATATGATGGACCAAACTTTGGTGCTTGAGAAAGTCGAGAACAAACCAGATTCAACTTCGACGACTGAACCAGTTGAATATGGTGTAAGAAAACATTATTGGGCACAAACACTAAAATTGTAAATGCTAGCTAGGAATGCTAATTAGCACTCCCATCAGAATTTCTTACAAAAAAAAAATGGTTCCCACAAACCTGAGAAAAGCTCGTAAACTGTAAAGTTTGTATATTTAGTCATATTTCATTACAAAATAATTTACTTACCAATCCCATCAAGGGCCCCAGCCTCGGAAACGCTATTGCGACACCAGTAACCGCTGTTACAATAATAGCTCGGTATACTCTCTCCCATATATAGTGCTTCTCCTCGGGATGTCTCTTTTTCAAATAATACCAAACCAAGTTAAATGGAGCCCAAAAGTTTAGACCAAAAGTCACATAAATCATTACGCCTATGAGTGCTTTTAAGATAGTCGGGAATCTATAGACAAGAATTGTAGTCTTAGGAAAAGTAATTTTAAATTACAAAAAAAGAAATAATGAACAATTGCATTAAATAAAAATCATGAATTTTAATTTGACTGTAAATCATAGTGTTATCATGTAATCTACCATTGACCCAATTCCATTTAAAGATATATTTTTTTTAATTTCAGTATCTGATTAATGATCGAAAAAGTCATGACAAAAGAAACCTAACATCTTTGTTAGTTGTATATACAATAGAGCATTAACAGCTATGGAATTGCTTTACACCGACTTATTTCTAGAATCTCCAAGATATAAGTAACTTACATACTGCTAGGAAAATTCAGGGTAATTGGACTCAGTGTATTTTCGCCAAAACCCCAGTATCCAAAGAATCCAGTAGTTAATACGAAGCTTACCACTACAGACATTCCTGTTAAAGAAAATATAAAGGGTTGTGGTGTATTTAAACTTGAATATACGAGTAGTTTGCATGTTTGTAGTAAATAAAGTAAACTTCATAACTTTCATTCGTGTGGCAGTCGTCGTCCGAGCACCGCGTCACTGCCACACGAATGAAAGTTGTATATTTACAAGCCCACGCACACATCGGGCCGCGCGCACAACTGAGTTGAACTATCTATACTCAGTTTTAGTTCTACTGATTTTCAATCCAACAGTTTTCAGCCTTTGTTGCCATTTTTCTAGTCTACTCTGGACCTCACCCCCGTCTTCACTGATCAACACAATAAGATAGATAACTCTTTATTTGCACACATTTTACAAGTATTATGGTAAATTACAGACATGTAATCTACAAAGGGCGGCCTTATTGCTAAGAGCAATCTTCCAGGCAACCTTAGGATGTTTCAAAATGTTTTGGAGAACAGTAGTTTTTTACACATAAACACATATACAATATACATACACATATACATACGATATACATACATATACATATACTTATATATATATATATATATAGCTAGTTTAGTATATCACATAAAAGAGACGAAAAAAGAAAAGGAACGTTCCTATCATGCCTTGACGCGTAATTGACTTAATCAAAGTTTATAAAATTCCTGAACCATTCTCTTAAAGCTGTTTATCGTTTGCGCTCGCCTGATGTTTATCGTTTGCGATCGCCTGATGTTTATCGGCAATGAATTCCACAAACGTGCAGCTTCAACAGTAAAAGATTGGTCATAGAATTTTGTGGAATGCAGAGGCATCTCCAGCCCCAAATCCTCGGATGACCTCAGACATTTATCATGTGTGTCATTAAGGAACTTGAACCGTTCTTTGAGGTAAAAGGGGGCTCTAGGATTGAACAAGATGTTATAAATAAAAGTGAGGACATGAGTATTCCGGCGAGAGCGAATCGGAAGCCACTTGAGCTTTTGACGGAATTCAGAAACGTGATCATATTTTCTTAACCCAAATACAAATCGTATGCAGAGATTTTGAAGTCGCTCAAGCTTATTAAGTTGTGCTTCAGTGAGATTCAGTTAGCTGACATCGGCATAGTCGAGAATTGGGAGGAGAAGTGCTTGTGCAAGTGCAGCCCTAGTGGCAGTTGGAAGAAAGTTTCACAGTCTTCGCAGAGATCCGTCAGAAGCAAATAACTTACGACTGGTCATTTGTATTTCTCACATAGTTGGTGCATAGCAAATATGACATCTTTTGACCCACGTCCTGGCATAAACTCAACGGGGGCTATCTCACTCTAATCTCTGTTCTAATCCATTTCTCGGTCACTTTCCTCAGACTTTCTTAGTATGTGACATAAGCTTTATTCTTCTATTGTTATTGCATTCCTGAAAATCCTCTTTATTTTTAAAAATGAATCCTTTTTATCTTGGAACGCAGTCTTTTATTCTTGGCCTATTGTGTTAGGCCGAGGGATTCAATGCACGATACACTGGCAATCCGATTCGATTACGACCATATGGAGTTATGATTATGGGCGAGCAATTGCAGTTCTACTGTGACGACAACTTTAATATCACGAACACCTGTTTCAAACAACACATACCTGGAAATCCCCTGTTTACAGATGTAGGAATTAAATTGACTATACATTGTGTCAGCGTCGGAACGTCTAGCGTAACCCGTACTAATTTAAATATTTCAAATCAGTGCAATTCGCTTAAATTAGTTATAGGAACTTCAATGCTCCCTGCAGTGCAAAATAAATGTTTTCAACGAAATAAGTCTAGTGCAAATCTGTGAAACCAACTTTAAGCAAAGAGATATAATTACGGCAAAATCCCTCTTAAAAATAGAGATCGTAAACGTAAGAGATTTCGGCAAGATATAACAAAAGTACTTAAAGAAACCGCTTCACTACCTGCTTTTGTTCCTAAGGATCTACAGCGTCTTCTATCAGTAACCTTCAATTACATCGACGTCACAACGCTGCTCAAAGATATTCTTATCTTAAAACAAGAAACCCATCAGGGTGACTATGTAAAATCGTCGAAGCCCGCTGTAGTACAGACTGAATTAGGAAATAGTTACAGTCTACAACTTCTAATATAGTGAAAGAGAACAGTGAAATTCCTAACGGCCCAATTTTTCAAAAAATCCTTTGAATTAGATGTAAACATATCATTGGACAGTTAGCAACCGCGCAGGCGCTTTTGACTGCGCTATTGACATCCTAGGCGAGTACGATAACGAGTGTTACAACTACCGCGTCATTCACGTCAGCGCGAGCGAGAATATTATTGCTATGCATTCAAACCGAAAGCATTCGAATCGTATGCGTCGAATATGCAGTCCTATAAAAACGTTTGATGTAAACACTCCATAGGATACTTTGACAGATGATAGCCTTACGATCGTAGTAAACAAGAAAGTTTTGCGAAAAAATAACAAAAATCAACGGCGGTATTGACGTCGAGTGAAAATAAAATAGTACCCAAATTATGGTTTATTTACTCCACTCGATTTGTCACGGAAACTACCGAAGATAACTAATCTTGCATAGTCGACAGAAGAACCTGATATCCTTTGAGCTTGCCATCAGAGCAAAGTAAGTATAAGTACATATTATAGCCGAAACACTGAAATCTGGAGTACTGGTAGACGGTCAAAAGACTAGAAAGAATCAGTGATTATACCTTTACATAAGGCTCTTCAAAATAGTGTACAGTGTAGTCTTAATATCGCATTCGAAAGTAAACAACTTTTATTGCAATGATATATGAAGAAAGTAACTTCTGCATTACAAATGTTCGAGAATTCTCCACTTATAATGAAACTGCAACGTGTCCAGTGTTGTATATTTATGTAAGGAATTTTACATTTTTCTTTATCAGTCAGTGTCTTTTCTTGTTTTCTTTTTCACATTGCATCACGCTAAAAGTATTGATTAGATTCTAATGTAAATTGACACGATTAGATGTAGTAAGATTTTTAAATTTTTTTGGTTTTTGAATTATAATATAACAAATGGTAACTTGCCTTAATAATCTTATTAGCTTACCAGCAATTAACACTATATGGTACTTCCTGGGGTCCTTCATGGTATTTTCTATGGGTAGTGCCACTCCAACTCCTTCCATACTAAATACCACTATACCAGAAAACTCGAAAAATTTCATAAAGTCAGTAAAAGCTGGCATTTCGCTTAGAGGAGGGGCCTTTTCTACACCGTATACAACAGTTGCTATGACACACATTACTGTAACAGAAAATTCATCAAGTGATTAGAATATATTAAATGAGCTGAATATAATGTTTTTCCTGTGTCGCGGGGGACTTTATACTATACATACTACTTTATACAAACATACATGAAACGGAACATTAAACACCTAGACTTAGAACAACAATTTGTGGTTCACGTTCAAGTGTCGTCCCATGTGGGGTCCGAGCCACAACACTCAGCGTAGTAGTAAGCGGCGTAGCGATACTAGCGACCGCTTAAACCACTACGCCACCCGTGCAGTCAAATATGGACCTGACCTAACGACTATGGACTAACCTATTACGCCTATAGTCTAGATCATCTATTTATTTATTGGACAGATAGTAGTTGTTACATTATTAACTAAAACTTAAAGCATTCATTCATTAGAATGAGATTAATGCGCAACATTTAGAGGCGTCACATCATACATTAAAGAGTAACACTATATGAAACTAAAAATAGAAAAGCGTTGATGCGAGTTTAATAATAACTGAATAAAAATATCGTATAACAAAACTACGCCTTTTTTTTTTTTTTTTTTTTGTCGTGCGGAAATCCCCTCGGATACCACCTGTCGGTGGCATGTCGGACTCGAACCGACTAAAACCGCACGCCTTCGCCGGGTACTAATAGCCGGGGAACCAGGTATACCCTAGAAAGGAAGGCCCTGGTGCCCCGACATACCTCGGGTCATCTACAGACGAGTAGACGACCCCCGCCCCGTGTGGGAACCCCATGTTCCCTGTGCTCCCTGGAAGCGAGCGCGCTTCGCAACGCTCTCGCCGCCACCCCGGCCTGCTTCTGCTAGGGTGACAGATGGCCTCACCTGTCACCCCCAGGCCTGCGCTTATGGAGGACGGAGGTCGTTCTGCGACCTCCGGCGCCTGAGTCGCCTGCGCTGCCTGGCCCGTGCCCGGGCCTGGCGGGCCGGGAGAGTTCTAAACCTCTCCCGGTCCCGCTCCGCCGTCTCCTTCGCGAGCATAACTTGCTCGCAGAAGGAGACGGCAGAGGTCCACGCACTCTCGCTCCGCACGATAGCCGCAATCAGGCTATCGAGCGAGAGAACTCCCACTCCGATGGCCGCCACGAGGTCTCGCCTCTGCTCAACCCACGCCGGGCACTCTGCCAGCGTGTGGAGAGCCGTGTCCACGGTCTGGCCATCGCAGTGGTGGCACTCAGGCGTTGGCTCCTTGCGGATCAGACACAGATGATCTCCGAAACATCCCTTCCCAGTGATCACCTGCGTCAATCGGTATGAGAGGGTCCCGTGACGCCTCTCGAGCCAATCCTCCATAACGGGTCTTACCGCCGCAATGACGGCGTGCCCAGCGCTCGGTTGCCCGAGTCGTTCCCTCCACTCCCCTATGATGACCTGGCGGAGTTGGGATTTCCGGTCATCGATTTCTCGAATCTCGGGGCATCGACCCAACTCCTGCGCCTCCTTGCGCCACTGATACAGTGCCGCAAGGGCTCTCGCCTCCAGGTCCCACGGTGGAGTTCCGGCCAGGAGACTCGCTGCCTCAAAGGAGATCGTGCGGTACCCCCTTATGATCCTGATGGCCAGCATTCGCTGCGGTCGTCGCAGTATCGCGACGTTGCTGGCCTTCAGGGCCCCCGCCCATACCGGGCACCCGTAAAGGGCCATGGACCGCACAACCCCCGAGTAGAGTCTCCTGCAGTAGTCATCGGGTCCCTTCATGTTGGGCAGCAGCCGCGCCAACGCACGCGCTGCCCCAACCAACTTGGGGACCAGACCTTGGAAATGATATCCGAAGTCCCATCGGCCATCGAGTACGAGCCCCAGATACCTGATCGAGGGCTCGATGCCGATGCGAGTGCCTCCTACCGTGAGGCTAGATCCCTCAGGCGGCTTCCTCCGAAGCCCGTGGAAGAACAGGGCCTCGGACTTGTGCAGAGCCACCTCGAGACCCAGCCGCCGGATACGCTTAACGACTTGGGCAACCCCGGCCGTGGCCCTCAGGGTTGCCTCGTGGTGCGTCTTGCCGCGCGCCGTCACGAGTGTGTCGTCCGCGTAGCACACGACGGCGACACCATCCAAGAAGGTACCACGAAGCACCCAGTCGTAGCCGATGTTCCACAAGAGTGGCCCTAACACCGACCCCTGCGGAACACCGCACGACATTTCACGCCTACCGAGACCGGTCCTACTGGGGTAGACGACGGCTCTCTCCGACAAATATGCCCCGACTATGCGGCGGAGGTAGAGAGGCACTTCGTGATACACGAGCGCCTCCCTGATGCAGCTCCAGGGCATAGTGTTGAACGCGTTGGCGATGTCCAAGGACACCGCCAACACCACTTCACCCCGGGAGACTGCTTCCTCCGCCAGAGCCTTCACGCGCATGATCGCATCCACGGTGGAGCGCCCCTGACGGAAACCGTACTGGTTGTCCGCCAGATCCGGCCCAACCATCACGAGATGCTTGACGAGGCGCCTTGCAATCACTCTTTCAAAGAGCTTGCACACTTCGTCAAGCAACACTATGGGCCGGTAGGTATGGGCTGGCGGCGAGCGGTCACGCAGGCTTGACGCAGCCGTACAAAACTACGCCTCGATCCCATTTTATAAATACAAATTCATTCATTGCATCAAAGAACATGGCGGTAAATTGACAGGTAATCAATGAATCACTTATCATAAGTAGTAAACATCATCATACTTTTTAAGTGTATGCATAGAAAATTGCAAATCTACCATCGCAAACAAGACATCTGAGATGTAAATTCAGCTACAATATTTTTAGTGTGGATCATTATTATTTACATAGAGGTGTTGCCTTAGTTCTATGCAAAATTTTACTAGTGTTTTATTTGCTCTAAGGAAGGTCTAATAAAAAAACTACTAAATGGAATACTTAAGTACCCTATATGAATTACTTAATATGAAAGCTGTAACGTCCATTTCCCAAAATATTCGATTTCCTAAATGTCTAAAGAATCTTAAATTAATGCAGAATCAGAATCTTAAATTATTAATTAAGTTTAGTAATTAAAAAGCAAATTATTATAAATTGATCATTTGAGAAATTTGAAGAAACTTTTTTAGAATACACTGCGTATAGAATATCTGGACCTACAGGAAACTACATAGAAAAACTGTGTAGAAGTAATACTTAAATCTTACCAATGAAGAAGTCAGCCACAAGTGTAAACGGTGCTAGGTACTTGAGGGATCTTATCATACACAACAGAATCACAGGAAAGAGAACCAGTAATATGTACAGTCGTAATGCATTATCAGAAGGGTCACCGACATGCTCGGGATTTGAGAGCTGATATATAGTTTTCGCTATTATGATTTCATACACGCAGCACGAACCAAACAAGTCTACGCAAATTATGAAATCTACTGCATATCTGAAAAATATAGACATATCTTTTTTTCTATTTTATAAAGAAGGGGCTGCAATCACACTAACACGCTGAATTCTTAACTATCACCATTTACTATCTCATGTTAAGAAAGGAAGTAAAATAAATATTTTTTCATTAGAAAGAGTAACAAGCTAGCTCAATCAGAGCGGCAACGCTGCTAATGAGCCTGACCGAGTCGGCAGTATGTCTAAATATCTAATTTTCTAGTGCAATTTCGTGACGTAACTTAATAACATCATACAGAATTTTCTACAATACCTCAATTCATTTTTCAGCATCTTTCATGGTATCCGTACCATACCTTTTACCTATAACCTTTTTTTAATATTCCTTGCCTTCTAGGGATGTCTACACACCAAAATGTGGATGAAAAGTATCAGCATTTATGTATATGCCTCGTATATAAGTTTAAGTAGTATATAAGTTTTGTAAATCTAATTTGTGACGTAACTCTCCAAACTTTCGCTTTGCGGAAACCTGGTCCTTATAATATACCTGAATGATTTACCCCAGTTCTTAAACCTGGGCCATGGTCCATGTTCCAGTGATTTTTGGGCAAGGTCGGGGTATGACATTTGTGGTATTTGAAGCTGCACATATAACTTTTGGGCTGATGTTACTAACATCTGTAAATCACATTAGACATTATATCATCTATTTTCTAGAATAATCTCATTTTGCCTACCTAATCTGCCGTCAAAAGATAAAAGACGCATCTAACATTTTTTTTACAAACCAAGCTTTTTACATATTGGGAGTCAGAAGAAAAAGACGCATCTACCAATAGTTTTAATCTTGTCAATACTAAATAGAGCCTTGAAAACCTCACTATTTAATTCGGCACTAAGGAAACGATGAACGACGAATGAAATAATTGTTGTTAAATATGTAAATATGTTTGTGATTTGCTTTTGCACGTGCACAATATGTAGTATTATTATGTTATCTCTCTCTATTATTTTCATTCCACATTAATACCTAAATAAAATTTGTTTCAAACTAAGTCAATCGATCGCATGAAACTCAGGTTTTAAACAGTTCAAGCAGGCAGCGGTAAAGTTTTTGAACGATAAATTTTATGACATACCTTCATATGTAAAAAAGAATTGTACAAATAAAAATATGAGGATTAACGGAACTACTGTTTGTTTTTTTACTGTTTTTTTATCTATATTAAATAAAAAACCGGCCAAGTGCGAGTTGGACGAATCTCTTAATCTCGTCATCACTCCTTAATCATGACTGGAAAATAAAACCGCAAAGCAAAAGTGAAACCGTATTTTTTACAGGCTCGACAACAATCATCAACAACAACAACATCAATTTTTTTGAAGCGGCGGTAGCGCAGTGGTTAAGGCATTGGACTTACGGTCAAGAGGTCGTGGGTTCGAATCCTGACCAGTATACTACCGACGTGAACCCAATCCTAACACAAGCAATTTAGATTAGCGAGAGGGGATAACGGGAATACTAGTAATTTTGCTTGTTGTAGACTAAAAAAAAGAAAATAAAACCCACAGTAATAGTTCCTTAATTATTGTAGAGTGGGTAGTAACCATAACAATATGAGCACTCTCATCTCTCAGCATCTCACTTTTTAAGGCACAAGTGAAGTCATTACCGTGTATGTTTATACCTACTATAAACGTAAATGGTCAAACCTCAAAGATAAAGTCAAGCCTAGGTGACAAATTCAACTTAGATGTAAATAAAAATTAAAAAAAATAACTTACATAAACACAATAGGTGATATATACTCCAAATATGACAGTAAATATAGCGGCCGTCCACAGGCCGCATAATTTATAGCCTTCTGGTATACCTAATATACCAGCCCCGAGACATCCTTTGATTAAATGTCCGGTGGCTTCCAAAACTCTAAAAAGATAAAAAAATGATAAATAATATTTACTTTTGAGGATTTTTTTTCGCAATCATGATGATGATAAAGCATTAATAATGATCAAAACCTGAAGTTCGTGTTAGGATTATATTTAGTAATTTTTAGTTAGGTTTAGAGAGTTTTCGAGCAACAAAATTAGCACCATTGTCTCGATTATTAATTGTACCGACACCAACTTCGTCAATTTATCAACATGTCCAGTGTGCATATTTGCAAAAATGTGGCGTGTTCCTCGTTTAACTTGTTTTGTAATTTATCAAATTCTAAGTCATGCAATCTATTAAAAAAACTCGATATGACAATTTTTATGTGGAGACCTAAGTTATCGCACTCACTCATTTCTTGTTGGAGTAATGTTTTACTCATAAAATACAATTTTTTTGCTATAGAAATTATTTAGAACATTGCAGCACGGTATGGCAATCAATATACCAAATGCACATAAACAAAATAGAAAAAAATCAAAACGGACTAGTTCGATAGCTTTCCGTTTTGAGGTTAGGAATTTAAGAAGTTATGAGGATAAACTAAAGCATTTTAAACTTCTTAAGTCAGTCTTCTTAAGTGCTGTTTGTGTGTCTTGAATTGAGTCTGTATGGGTGTATGGTTTTATAGCGTTGAAAATCGGAGTAGGTTTTCTGTATCATCGTAAGATTTGTTCGTTCCTTCGAGGCCCAATGATTTAGGGAAGCAATCACCAATTGCTCGGATGACTCACGAATATAACACTGATTTCAGTTCCTTCGGGGAATAGGACATTTTTTTAAATAGCTGAATTAATAAAAAATAAAACTTATGTGTTGGATTTGATTAACCAATGTTTAATTGTTGCCATATCCACCTGTCATTTCAATTTCTAAAACTAGTTGATTGAACAGATGGCGCTGTTGCCAATAACAAGTTATCTCAGAGAGCTCTGTAAAAATATAAGTTTTAAAAATAATAAATGTGCTTTAAATACTCATTATTTTACATTAGCGGATAGATTTCAAACCAATTATTTAGTGTGAATGTTATCTTTTGAATAAAATAAGAATTCAGCAAAAAAACAGCGTGATAAAAATTAAACAGTACTCTCAGTGTGAAAAAGTGATAAATGACAGTTAATAAACTATAAATAATCTGAAGAAAGTAGTGCTGAAATAAAGTGATAAGTTGTGAACCAAATAAACAATTTTGGAAAAAGTGAATTAAGCTATGTTGTGAGAACATTTTTGCACCATGACTCATACATAACGACTTGCTTGAATTCAAATACATCTTGCGAGGAAAGTGATCTCTAATTTCAGTTAATCGTCTAAAAGCCTTAGATAGTCGATAGCGATAACGGTGCCCCTTTCATTCGCAAGTCGCGAGATCTAATTCAGCGTCGGCTTGTTGTTTTTGTGTTTTTTTTTTTTCTTCTTTCTTTTTTTTTAAAGTAATAGATTTGAAAATGGAGTTTGAAAACGTTACACTGCGTTCTAAGCGAAAATCTTTGTCGTATCATGATATATCAAATCTTTCTACTGGCTCGTTATTTGAAACAACGATACAGAGTCTACCAAATACATCAATAGATGGCACTAACAGGTGCTGTGAGATACTTAACGATCGAATATGCGAAATGGATGCGAAGTTACTGACTGCAAATAATGAAATAGATAATTTACTTCAAGAAAACGAAAACTTAAAAGTTGAATTGAAAAAGTGCTATGATGTTATAAATATGTACAAAAAAATATCGAACATCGACAGTAATAAAAAATCACAGTTAACTCGTAAACAAAGAAGAAATACAATACAAATTGACTCAAACGAAGCATATGACAATAATGTAATACGAGTATCATCACCCTTACCCGACAAAAATAAAATGAACTACAAAACTATTAAAGTAAATGCTTCAACACAAACGGTTGACGTCGACTTAAAATTACATAAAAAACAAATAACGTCTATCAATGTGTCACAATATCATGAACAAGACAAATGTACTTTAGCTACTAAATTGGCAACAGAACGTGCACCAACAAATCAAAAATGTGACAGAAAGGTTATGAATAGCAAGCGCAAAGTATGTATCTTGAGTAGTAACAAAACAAACAAAGTTCTATCGATAGCCGAAGGTAAATTTCGGAACTCTGCGTTATGTCATTACTTGTATCCTAACTGTGGAATTGTACAACTATTTACTAATTTGAAAACGAAACTTTTAAACTATACACTAAAGGACTATTGTATTGTTTTCATTGGTGAAAACGATTTTCTTAAAACAAACAATTATTTCAACTTGATAATTTATGTACGAGACATTCTGTTATCACTACAACATACTAACATTATTATTTGTCTACCCACTTATAAATATAGTCGTTGCTCGGTGATGTTTAACTCGAGGATTGAAACCTTTAATAACTTATTTTATAATCTCGACATTCAAAATTATAATCATGTAATAATAGTTGACTCGAACTCTAATTTGAAATATGATTATTCTATGTTTAAATATAACGGTAATTTGAATAACAGAGGAATGAATAACATTTTTAATACTGTAAGTTATCATATGCAATCTGGCAGCAGTGAAATAATTGATTATACTCGTAGCTCTGACAACTGTAAGCATTCAAATTCTACGGCGTTAATAGACCTCTCAAACTCTAATCGATCAGATGATAAAGATTTTTTTCGTTTATAATCATTTAAATTTATTGCATCAAAATGTAAACGGACTGTTGAATAAATCCGATATTATAACAGAGTGTATAGATACTCTTGCTCGTAATGGTCAGATTATTAATGTTTTATGCTTCACTGAACACAATATGATGTCGGGTGACGTCGACTTTCTTAACATACCCAATTACAAATTAGCTACATTTTATTCTAGGAATAATCGAAATGGTGGTTCATGTATATTAGTGCAAAACTACTTACAATTTACAATTATTGAAACGGTGTGGAAATTTAACATTCCTAACATATTTGAATGTTGTGGAATAGAAATCACTCATCATAACATATCAGTAATATGTCTATACAGACCTCCAAACTTGAGCAAAATTGACATTTTCTTCAGTAATTTACATAAAATGTTGCGTCTTTTGTATCTAAAAAATAGACCTAACATTATAATAAGTGGCGATTTTAATATTGACCTACTAAAAGAGACTAGGCACTCCGTGACATTTAAACGGTTAGCAAAAGAATACAACATGAAATTTGCAGTAAACGCACCAACCCGCCCCAGTAGTGGCAGCTGTTTAGATAACATTGTTTACAACATGAGAGGCTGTAAAAGCGAGATTCTAGAACTAGGGGTATCCGATCACACTGCACAATTAATTAAATTTCCAATACAACAAACTTGTATTTTGAAGTTTTGGTACACACACAAACGCGATTACTGCAAGGAAAATAAGAATATATTTAGGAGATGTCTTAAAAATCTAAGTTTTTCTGAGGTCTATGAATGTAATACGGCTAATGAACGTTTTGATGCTTTTTTCGATTTATTTAAATTTTTTTACGACCTATGCTTCCCCATACTAAAGCGCAAAATATCCACACTTGTTAGGCCGAGGTGGATAACCCGAGGTATTATATTGTGTAGTAAAAGAAGGCGAGACTTGCTTTGGAAACATAGACTAGCGAAAACTAGCGACACGAAACTAGCTTTTAAAACATACAATAAAAGATATAAAACTATATTAAAGCTGACTCAGAAGGCAAGAAATAGTTATTTCATTGCTAATAGTAAAAATAAATCCAAAGCTACGTGGAAAATAATAAATTCAATCAAAACAAATGTACCTAGGGATAGTATCAAGAAATTATTAATTAATGGTAAAGTGGTTACTCATCCAAAATTGATTGCAGAAAAATTTAATAATTATTATATAGACCAGGTAGATACCAATATAAATCTAAAGACATGTAATTATAAAAATATTTCCAATTTTAAATCATTTAAATCTATGTTTATGAAACCGATTGTACCTAATGACGTTAATACTATAATAAAGAATTTAAAAAACACCGGCAGTACAGGCTATGATGAAATCCACACAAGCGTAGTAAAATCTGTAGGTACTATTATAGCACCTGTATTAACTGACATCCTAAATGATTGTATTCAAAGCGGAACTTTTCCGGACAAGCTAAAGACATCAATAGTAAAACCTCTGTTTAAAAAGGGCTCAAGAACTGAAATGGGTAATTACCGACCTGTAGCACTGTTACCAGTATTTTCTAAAATTTTTGAGAAAATCATTTACAGCAACTTGAATAACTATCTGGAAAATAATAACATTATATGTAAGGAACAGATGGGCTTTAGAAAAAATAAAACAATTAATATGGCTATATATGGATTTCTAAAGAACATATATATTAATTTAGATAACCGTAAACCAGTAATGTCATTGTATATGGATATGACAAAAGCGTTTGATCACGTGGATCATAACATATTAATTAAAAAAATGTATAATTACGGGATTAGAGGCAATGTCCTTGTCTTGATACAATCATTTTTAGAAGATAGAAATCAAATAACACAGATAAATTCAGTCAATTTCAAATCTAAAACTGAGGTAACTTATTCATCAAATGCTAGAAAAATTAAATACGGCGTGCCACAGGGAAGTGTTTTGGGCCCATTACTTTTTCTCTGTTACATAAATGATTTTCCTAACACTACGAAACATCAAATGTCTTTATTTGCCGATGATAGTACAGTTATTTTTAATAAGGGTACATTGAATGAAATAGAATACGATATAAATACTAGTATTGTAGACATTATAAATTTCTTAAATGCTAATAACCTAAAAATCAATCTGTCGAAAACAAAATTTATGAATTTTCAAATAAGACGAAAATGGACATCAGAAGTACACATCTCATATAAAGATGAAATCGTAGAAGAAAGTACAGTAACAAAATTTTTAGGGCTTCAAATTGATAATGACATGTCATGGAAAACTCAAATTAATTGTGTGTGTAATAAATTAAATACATTTTCCTATGCTTTATATATGCTATCAAAAGTAGCTAATGAAAATGCACTTCTTGCCGCTTATCACGGCTATGTGTCATCGACCTTAAGGTTCGGCATAATATTCTGGGGTAATGCCACAAATAAGCAAGACGTGTTTATAGCTCAAAAGAAATGTCTCCGAGCTATGTGTAAACTAAAAAGCACTGATACATGTAAGCCACACTTTTGTAAACTAAGACTATTGACATTTCCATCTATGTACATTTATGAAGTCTGCATGTTCGTGAGAAATAACATTTCTCTATTTTCTTTTATAGAAAGTCAACGTCGCTCCGACAAATTGCACTTATTAAAAGCCAAAACAGCACTTCTACATAAAAGTGTATACGCAATGGCACCAAAGCTGTACAATCATTTACCAAAACAAATAAGAGACCGTAAAAATGTTAATGAATTTAAAAGCAATCTCTTAAAATTACTTATTGACAAAGCATACTACTCCATAATAGATTTTCTGAATGATAAATTTTGACTTCAATTAGTTATGTATATGATTAGGTATTTGTAAATGACATTTATTTTGACGTTGTAATTATTAATTGTTTTAAAAAAAATTAATTTATTTTGACATTTTATTTAGTATTTTGAACTTTTAATTATTTTGACATTTTCGATTATTCATTATTTTGACATATTTAGTTCGACTTTTTTGATTGTTAATTATTTGACATATTGAGTTTGTCATTTTTAATTATTTTAACATTTTTCCCGATTTAATCATCATTTATCAATATCAGTATGTTTTTAATTAAGAAATCAAATCAAAGTCTATTTTTATTGAATTGAATAAGTATATGATTACTGGACTTTAAACAGTTGTATTGCACAGGAATAATGAAATCCTTTTATTGTTTTGTATGCCTATTGGCGAAACATGGCGATCTTTTAAATATGGTTTGTAACATCTGAATTTACCTGTGTTTTACGAAATAAATGATTGATTGATTGATTGATTGATTGATAGTACTAATTTATCTTTACCAATGTTACTTTTTGCACAATTAATTGTTATAGGTTTGTTGTTATTATTGTTATTGTTTTTATATTTGTTTCATCTACAAAGGCCATTTGTTGCCACTGTTTATCGTCTCTTACAATTATCGAAGAAAAAGACATAAAATTTTATGTACTGTAAAACTGGCATCAAAGGTGTATTTCTTGTTCCAAGGAGATCCAAATAAAATAAAATAAACTAAATAAAAAAATAAATTTATATTTCAGATCCCACCGTTACTATTCATAGTCATCAAGCGGTCACAGTCGAACTTAATCATGACCGTAGTTTGCCTGGAACCGTTGATCGAAACGACAACTTACATTTAAACATTGTGTCGAAGAAATACAAAGAAATACAAAGAAATAAGAATAAAAATCCACTTACGTAGTTCCTTTGTGAGGTGGTCTATGACTGACATAGTCATATTCTTGTTTCCTTCCTTCCATCAAGAAATTCCCTGAATATGTAAAGCAAATTATAATAGGATAATATTTACAGTATTTTTACAACTCAAACACCTGTAATTGTCACACGTAGGTTTTACCCACAAGCTTTTTTTAATCCGAATCATGGTGCAACTGTGACAATATCTATTTATTATAATATTAAGACCTTGTTCTGTTACATCTAAAAATTAGTTTTAACAAGGCTAATAGAAACAATCTTCACAGATATTGATATAACTATTGGTTTGGGGATTGATTATATTATCAATTTTAATATTTTTCTTAAAACTTCTATCGTTAAATAATAATCTAAGGATAAAAAATTAAGAAAATTTTCGACAAAGCCATGTTAGTGCCATTACCACAAATAAAAAAAAGTTATCTAAATGAAAATTACATGAACTTGATTTTTTCAGACTATTCACATTCACTTTTCAATTTTCATGCAACGTTTTTAATTTTTTTAAAGAGGTAAAGATCACAACGTTTTATATAATATAAATATTTTCAATAAAATTATAGTTTATTTATTATTACTGATTGTAATTGTACTTATATTCCTATTTAAATCTCCTTTTATCCTTTTGATCAAGCGTTCCTGTAAAATAATTTCGAATAACTTATCACAAATAAATTATTATTATGTTTCAATATTTTTGATTAACTGTCATTAAATATAGAGTAAATAGTGCTAATGCATTCAGACAGTAATATTCCATTTCGTTAATCGCCCTCAGTTCATAGTATCCATAATTATTTGTAAAAAAAAATATGTACAATTGCAACCAAATATACCATATGACACCCATTATGATTTAATTCTAAGTGACTATAATTATACTCCGTATTTATTGCGTATAAAGTACTACTACTTACAACCTTAACTTACAAACTACCTTAAAACTTACTTACAATGGACTATTCGCTTTTTTGTAAAACTCTTAAATAATTTTCATATTTTTGAAATATGTGTGTAAAGCATGTAGAACGGGAAATTTCTACTTAATGTAAAATAATTTTTGTTAAATAATGAACTAAATAGCTAACATTTATATTAAATTTGTATTAAGGATATTTGCGCGGCATAAAAGACATGTCAGTGAATTGAAAGTTAGCTTAAAAATATTATCACAGAATTTCCATTATCAATGGAAATTCAAACAAACGAGGTAAAATGTTATTAAAGGTTTTAGAGCTAAATCACATTGCAAAACATGATAGAAGCACTTAGTAAAAGTAATATATACTTACTAACCTTTTAACAGAGGAGTTATTCAATATAATTATAGTTCGATCATGTGGGATTTAGAAACAGTTTCATAGAAAACAAATTAAATTTTGCTGAAAATGTAATCACGAAAATTCTGACTTTTCAGTTATTTCGATGTTGTACGTCAAGTGCTTTTGTTTCTAAAATTAGTGTTCTTATTTTTAGTGGATTCATACGTCAAACTAATAATTCTTCTAAAAAGTTCTATCTAGATGTTGAGGATTTTCTTTATGGGATTTCTTTATATCCCTCCCACACGCCCACCATTGTAACTCCTTTACACCAGGGTCAACAGCAGTGACCCACGAACATACCAAGTTATGACACTTAGGAAGTTCAGAAAAAAATGAAACTGTCTTGGAACCCGCAACGAAATTAATCAGAAGAAAATTGGAGCCAAAATAAAATTAGGAGATTGGTAGAAAAGTAATGAAGGCAATATTTTGAGCTCCATGTGCAAAATTTGCATGCAATGTTGTTAATAGGAAAAGTTAATAGTAAAAGTCTTGAAGGTTTGGAGGTAGTATCGGTCCAGTTAATACCTTGTAAGTTGATTTTTTTGGTGGAAGAGTGTACCAAAAATGTTTATGTGTAGCGCTTAGCCTTTAATGTTTGCACATTTCAGTTTCACATTTGCTCTACTATACCACGCTGGCCAGATGAGTTTGTATAGAGTTTGTTTCAAGTTTTCTTTTTCTTTGCAGTGCTGTTGTCCTGCGTAGTTTGGCTATCCATGGGATGAATAGGGGTGGTATTACTCCATATTTTTTTTCTGTCATCATACGAACAAAACCACGGGATCTAAGAAGCGTCGTATATTCAATTCTTTATACTCTGTCCTGTTTTTTTAAATGTTTTTTGTAAGGCGAGGGAGATTGACAGAACTTGAGATTCCAGTCCTTTCTCGAATCTGGCACGTTCACCGCATTGGTAGTACCCTACTAATTTCATTATAATTTCACTCGTATTAGTACCATAAATGCATTTACACTACAAGAGTTAGTGACAAGCTACAGGTTTCATAAAAAAAAATTAGTAGCAAAAACTGTATTATATAGCCGCTACGGATGCTCCCGTGTCAACTGGTTATTATAAGTCAATACTATTTAATATAAAATTAACCCAGTTTATACTTACACATAGTAAAATGTATTTAGACATGGAAAAACTGACCTACGCATTGCTTCTTGTCATCGTTGAGTTCTGACCTTGACACTCATTATGTTTTGACGACGTATGATGAAAACATGCTAAGTGCCGTTTTTTCTGGCCACAATTATACCTATGCCTAGTAGTACTACTCTTTGCCATGCGTAGGCATTTTTGCCGTTATGGCAGGCGCCAAGCATATGCTGCACACGAGGCGAGCCAGCGAATCAAAGCGACTTTCAATAATTAAATTATGATTGTGGGATGTGAGTTGGATCGATCCTAGTATGCGCCGAATGACTCGAATTGGTTCATTTTCTCCACCGAGGCATAGCGTTTGCTGATATACGCTGGTTTGCTGATCACTCTCCGTTTTTTTTTCCGTGCTGATATGTCCTCGGATAGCACCCACCAGTGGTGGCTATGTCGGACTCGAACCGACGAAAAAACCGCACGCCGTCTCGGGTACCAGTAGCCGGGGAACCAGGTGTACGCTGGCTCGCCCTCACACGTGCGTAGTACACGCTTTGCCACGGTTATGAACGTGCATGCGATGAGCACCGTTCACTGCACATGCCTTGCAATGTGCAAGAAATCAGCATAAAGGCGAATGCACAGCTAATTTCTTGCGCACGCGACTACTTGATGAGGATACCGGAATATTGTTAGCAGCTCGGGTTTACTTGTTTTTTATCATATTTAAAGCTCGTTGTTCTTCTAATATAAAGCTAAATAAATTTAGAGCAGTCTTAGCAGTACTGTGCAATTTACGTGTGACTTCGTATGATAACAATTTAAATATTGTTTTCTGTGTTTTTCTGCGACTAGTTCCCGGTTTGGGAGCGGGTATAGGTATACGGTATAGTGTTTTTAAAGAATATCAGTAAGTTTTTACTGTTTTTAAACAGAAATTTAGTGCTCAGAAAATCCTCATGCAATCCATGAGAAACAATTGCACCCACAACGAGCAACTGTCTGGTGCGGATTTTGGTCAGGCGGCGTGATTGGGCCTTACTTTTTTGAAGATGAGGCCAAAATTGCAGTGACTGTGAGAGGCATTCGTTAGATACAGGAGTATGATAACGGAGTTCTTGTGGCCACACCTGCCACACCGCGCATGAAACAATCGACTTGTTGCAGCAACGACTTCCAGAATACATTATCTTACGAAATTTTGATGACAACTAGCCACCAAGATTATTTTTCTTTGGGGTTTTATGAAACCTCGGGTTTATGCGAATAAACCAAAAACAATTCTTGAGCTCAAATCAGAAATCCAACGCGTCATCGGTGTGATACAGCCACATCTCTGTGTAAAAGTCATGGAAAATTTAATGAAAAGAGTAATGGCCTGTCATCAGAGCTGTTGTTACCATTTGGCCGTAATTTTATTTTATACTTAATCGGAACATGCCTTCTTTACAATCCAATAAAAAAAATCACAACTCTTTCATAAAATACGTGTTTTTATTTTAAAATAAAAAAAATGCACTATTACTGAGACACCTTATCTTATAAAAATCAAATATGGCTCGCTTAGGACCCATAATATTTTGTCGCCGTGATGCTTCCCTGTTTCAAAGGGAGTTTGCCTGTTTTAATGCAAAAGAAGGCCTCGCTCTAAAATTATGAGGATATTAGTAAAAAAAACAAAAATAGACTTAGGTAACTATCAATTGTATTTATAGCACCTTGACAGTCTTTATTAGATTGTTGATTCTTAAATTTCTTTAAAGAGTTTGCCTAGACTTTTATATTCCAATTTCGGTGACATTTTGAATACGCTCAAAAATAATAAAACATCTGACAGTTTTTCGCAAACAAAATCATACATGTTGCTGCTTTAACTCACTAAAGTTAAATAGACTGCACTTCCACAACTTACAAATCCAAAAATTATAATTATACAATTCTTCATGATTCTCCATCTGTAATCGTAGTGATGAAAATTAATTTAAATAGTAACTATAAAATTAAAAACAGTCCTGACCTAGACTCGTCTATTAAATTATGATCAGGCATTACAATATTGCAAGTCTTCTTAAAACTGCCAAGATATAAAAAAAAACTTTTTACTTTAAAAGTATAGTCCATCAAATTTAATAAATAGCGTTTGACTTTTCATACTTTTCAAGCCAAAACAACTTTGTATAGGCATAACTCGCAAAATTTCAATAATATTATATAGTATTGAATCAATCGATGACCCCTTTCTATTCTTCAATCTGTCAGAACTATCAAACAGTACTTATTTAATTTGATATTTGATGGACCATAGGGGTAGTATCAATACCTAATAAAATAAAATCTTAATCCATTTCAATTTGAGGTTCCATTGAAGTGAGTCAAGCAATACTACTGTTTGCACTACTTTTTTTAGATCGATTAAATATTAATTTATATTTTTTTTAAATAAACCTCATCAATAAATACTGAACTAAACATTAGATATAGGTAGGACTAAACTACCAAACAAAAAAATAATTTTCCTAATCCAAATTTTCCTAATTCAAGTAGTTCTCCAATGATGGACAGTTAATAGTAATACAGTTAACAGAAGAGACGGAGAGGAGGCAAAAACCTCCTCCTTCTTCTTTTGAAAAAGTAAAAGTAAAGTAGACGTGTCTTCTTTTACATAGTATCGTATTCTCAAAATATTATTTAGTCAAATTAATACATCAAATACCTAATGTTAAGCGTCCGGTCATAATTCCAAGTAATCAAAATTTCTATGAAAGCCGGAAATATAAAATTGACGAAAGCCAAGATAAAGAGGCCAATCTGAAAAGAAATCTTAATTGTAATTAAAGTCGTTCTTTACGGAATAAAGACAAAAGAAAGTAAAATATTAAAGCGACCAGTAGGGTTAATGCATTGACTGTTAAAGATCCAAAATCTAGAGCATTAGCAACTTTAGTTTAAAAAGAAAGTTCGATGTGCAAAACCATAATGTAAACTTGAAACTTTTTCAATCACAAAAAACTATGAAATTAAAAATATTAAACTTAAGACGTAAGTTAAGTTCGCGTAGAAAAAAATGTGTACAAGACTTGATATTACAAACAATACAATATAACAATTATGTAGTGTAGGATCTGAAATTATAAAACAAATACTCTCCAAGTGTGTTCAGCCAAAAAATCATATTGAAGCTAAAAAGCTAAGAATTGACTGTTATTAGAAATGAAAAGTTCACTAGAAAATTTGAAAATTTTGAAAAATAACTGTGTTTTTATATGTTTTTCTTTGCATACCGTAGTTTATGTGAATAACAGGAAAAAGTCCAAGTAAATTAACATTAATAAAAAAACCGTATAGTGACGGATTAAGAATACGGAGTGACTTAACTTTGAAAAAATCACTTACACTTTAGAGTTAACCATAACCCAAAACAGATACTGCCTGGGCTCCGGGCATCACAGGTCAGTCTATATAAACTTAGTTACAAGTTTAGAAATATAAAGTTACAAAAAAAATATAAATTTTTACATAAAAATATCTGTATGATTATAAAAATCAGCTTACGAATGCCATCAGTGGAATTACTTCAGAAAATAATATTGATATACAAGTCACCGGCAAAGTGAACAATAGACGAAATATTCTCTCAAATCTAACTGAGAAATGATGGGAAGTTCTGAAAAAAAAAATGAATTAAGAAGGTACACAATGCTAACATTATCATTAGAACTTTTCACTCTTGTATACAAGGTTTCTGCTACGCTAACGCTTAATAAGTGGCAGTTTCATTAATAATTTTAGGATACTCGTGAAAAGAACAAGTCATTGGCAAGGATAAAACTGTACGAATCAGCGTTTATCTGTAAAGGGTACACCCACAGTCAAGCATAAACTAACACACACAAACAGTTACACGCAGCTGAAGCTAGAGTGTCTGTTTGTTTCTTCATTTGGTTATACGTGCTGATCTTAGGAATTGAAATATATAGGCTATATAACATAACGCCACCACTAACAGGAGACGAGTGTCAATAGAAAGTTAAAAAACGGGTTAAATTTATTCCTTTTCAGGGATGCATACGAAATTGTGTAGGTCAGTTAGTATACACATATAGGTCCAATTACGCATACGAAGACTCTCTTATGAATTAAAATAAAAACCCAATGTTTGCATTTTCAATGTCGATATCGCACGTCGTTATTATTACAAACTGTTTCCAAAAGTTTTTCAATCAATGCCAAAGCTATTTAAACGTTGGTACCTTTTGCTAACGTAATACCAAATTATCTTGAAAGCTACCCAAAATTGTACAACAAATATCACGCACAACATTAAACCCAGGAGGAGTTGTAAAATCCCTGAAAACCTGAAAAGAAGTTAAAATTTCTTTACATTACTTTTAGAAACTAACTAACTTATTACCAAGTTCACCACAAATATACTTAGAAACATAACACAGTTGTTTAATGCTCAATGGTGATAAGTCATCATCATCATCATCAGCCTATTGCAGTCAACTGTTGGGTTGTCAACCCAACAGTTGACTGATGATGACTACAGAAATCTGAGTGACCTAAGATCTAAGATGAAGTTGATCTAAGTGACGTGCAATGGGCTCTCCCATTGCATGTCACTTAGATCGATTTTTTTAGTCATACGCTCTCCAAAAATAGTCCTCTGTTTTCAATGAACTTTCCACGGATATTGTGGTAGGATATTATAACTAACAACATCTATTGATAGTTATAACAATCAAAGAAATAAAAAAAGGAAATTGTATGTAATACATTAATTGCTTATCAATAGTAGGAAACAGAGATTAGGGCGGCCCTAACCGCATGGTCCGACTACTTTGTCCGACTGATCGAACGAAGCGACGCGGATATATTTTTTTTTCCTTTTGACCTGCGGACGTTTGAGTTTGTTTTTCAAACAATTTTTAATAGGAAAAATGTCTATATTGCTAAACCGATTGTTTCACGTATGGTATTCTGGACAATATTGAATTCCTACCATTATTTGTGCGGTGGTATGGCACCGAGAATAAGGTTGTATGCCTAGTACGTTTTAAGGAGTATTGAATTAAACACAAGTTAAAGTTTGGAACAATCCCGCACAATATCAAATAAGTAACACATGACCAGCATTACTGTTCTATCGACTAAAGGTAATAACTGTTTTGACAGTCCTCGCTATAAGTACTATGACGCCTGTGTGTTTTGTAGTTCATGTGTTTCATGAATCGTTTCTGAATTTTTCCATTTTTTTCGGTGTAGATATCGTATTTTGAGGGGTCCAAATCTAAACTGCGAAAGTAGGCGTAAAAAACTATTTTCAAAGTATAAGGTATTCTAAAAGGTGCACATGTATGCATGACGTATCCTAGATTTCAGAATGTTGTTTTTGTGATATTTTCAATATGACGTGAAAGTAAAATTCTAGAATCTAATAAAATCCCAAAATCACGCACCAATTCGACCCGCTTCAACTAAACTTGTAGCCATATTTTATGACACAAACCCTATACCAACCCGTCTGGCCAGCGTGGTATAGTAGGCCAAAAGCTTCTTTCTAAGGAGAGGCCCATGTCCAGCAGTGGACTATTAAAGCCTTTTGACGATGATAATTAATCAATTCATATTAATATACTAAATTCGTAAGTCTTTATGATTACACAATTCAATGATGATATACATAGTTCACCGTGATGGAGACAGTCACTTACTATCAGGTGACAAATTTGCAAATTTCCTCATTATGTCTTAAAAAATATTTCACTTTTGTTCATAAGTCAAAAAAATCTTCTTACACATTGTGAGGCATATGCACATTTACTGGACTTCTGCAATCTTCACCCCATCCCCAATATCCGAAAAAACCCGCCAGTGCTATCAATGTCACTTCTATAAACATGGCTGAAACATACCAAAGATTATACTAACTTTTAAACTATCGTGTTCTATAATAAACTAATATTATAAATGCTAATGTGAGTATTTTGTTTGTTATGATTTCAGGCCCAAACCCTAAGCCTAAACCACTAAACCGACCTTAAAAAACTCTTTACCGCGATCAGCAGTTCTGCAAAAGCTATTAATATATAATTAAGTTTACAAGAATATAACGGTCTAATATTGTTTAATAGTATCGAAGATAAGCGGGTAGATGAAGGAACTCAATAGGTGTTAAACATTCATATTTAAAATACTACAGACATTTTACTAGCCGTCTCGGGCTAACTTAAGTTCTTCGTTCATCAGCCGATTAATGTGTTGTACATTATTAATCGCAGTAATTCTTTTCAGTAACATTTTGATTTTAACATTATTATATTAGGCATTATGTCCTTTCACCATAAAAGAGATCATCCCTTTGTAGGAGGCACATAATTATTGTCTAGGAGGACATTTTACGACACCAACCGTTAGGCTTAGAGAAATCCTTCTCTAGACCTAACGGTTGGTGTCGTAAAATTCGGTAGTTATAATAATCGACGTGAGAACTTTCATTACGCGATACAGGAGTAGTAATTCTTCTGTAATTGAGTATGTCTAACAACTAGGAGCAGCTATCTCAATTATTAATCGGGATATAAGCAGATTTGCATCTGGAGCAGGCAACACGGGTTAAACGTTAATCCATCTAAAACACAAGCAATCATAATCGGTGGCACTAGGACTTTATCTAAAGTCGATTGGTGACATCAGCCCCAAATATTCTGCGATAGAGCCTTAGTTCGGATTTCGAAGACCGTCAAAAACCTGGGAATTCACTCAAAAACTTGTCCTGGGATCCGCAACTACAAGAAGAAGTCTGTAAGAAACTGTTTGCCTCTGCCGGATCTCTGAGAAGGCTGCGTAACTTCTTATCAATTACGACCGAAATTGCGCTTCCAGAATGTCTTCTTCTCCCAATCCTTGATTACGCAGATGCAGCTATCCCGATCTCACCGAAGACCAACTTAATAAGGTTGAGCGGCTTCAAAACTTTTGCAAAAGGTTCATTTTTGGATTGCGCAAATTTCACCATATTTCTGAATTACGGAATAAGCTTAACTGGTTACCCATTCGTCTTCGCCGTATGCTTATATATCCTTATAAGGATATTTATCTTATATATCCTTTCACTGGTAAACAATATTCTCTTTAATCCCAACACTCCCCCTTTTTTTAAAAGAACGCTTCAGATTCCTACGTGATACGCAATCAAAGTCCTTAAAATGGTCAGAGAGCTTGATTTTGGAAATGCCTAAGCACACGACCACCGTGGCACAAGCCACGACTTTTATGAACAAATCGTTTACAGTGCATTTCATATGCTTATGCAATGCATTGCCACTGCCCATCAGACGAGCACAAACATTGGCTAGTTGTAAAAAATTGCTGAAGGAGCATTTCCGAAATTGTTGAGAGAGGGTCCCCTAGCTCAGTCTGGAATCTTGTGTTTATCTGCCTCTTATTTATGTAGTCTCTTTTCAATGTATATTTTGTATGTCGTATGTCGTATGTCAATGTGTGTATGTCGTCCGTGTGGTGACGGAGTAAGAATACAGTGTCACCACCCCTAATCTTCCCATGGGTGTCGTAAGAGCCGACTAAGGGAGAAAACTACGCGGAACAACAGCACTGCAGAGAGAAGGAAAACTTGACACATACCCTATGCCAACTGGCCAGCGTGGTATAGTAGGCCAAAACCTCATTTCTAAGAAGAGGCCTATGTCCAGCAGTGGACTATTGAAGGCTGTTGATGTGATGTGTATGTGTTTAGTGTTTATATTTAAATAAGTTTGTATAATCCAATAGTCTTTAGTCTTAATTCAAAAATCTTAATCAAATTGCAATACCCTATCTCATTCTTATTCTCCTTCTCCATCAGTTAGTTGCCTGAAAGAGACTGCAAATCGCAACAAGGCCGCGAATTGTACAACTTTTGATATTTTACTATCTATGTTTCATTTATATAACTTTAGATCACACTCACACCAATGTATACAGACTGTATTATAATTATGTTTTTATTGTACAATAAAGAGTTATCTATCTAGATCCTCATTAGATGGTATTGAAGTAAGTATTTTCGTTCTATGTTGAAGTCGCCACAATTCGTATACAATAAACGATCTCTTACCCCAATTTAAAACATGGACAAAATACCGTGGTTGCCTCATGTTATTTTCTACTGGCAAACACACCGCAATGCCACAAGTGCAATATATACATATTCCACAAAATGTCCAAAAATTATTAAAGTTCTTCCACGCTGGACGATCAGAGATATTTTGATTTGTTTGAAAACTGTAATACAGCGTAACCAAGATGCACACAGCTAAAACAAATAATAAACACATACAACCGCAATAATTAATTTAGATATCGCACATTTCGGACCTACAATATAAAATTGTTGACCTCAAAAGATAAAAAAAACTTGTCTTGGACAACCACTATGTATTCGCAATATTTACTTATAAAAACTATAATATAATGTGAAAAAGTATAATACATGATAAATACTGGAGCCGAAAATGTTAAATAGTAATTCAAAAATCGAAAGGAATGACGTTAGTATTGCGAAATGGTCTTTGTGTGAAAGTCGTATCCATCAAGAAAAAAAACTTTCAAAGAAAGTGGATGTATTTTATCGTTATATTGGTAATTGTTTATTTTATAAATTGCATCATTATAACCTGAAATAACTCTTGGTACTGACCAGTGGCTATAAATAAAAGCGTTGTGTTCATATAAGGAGACAGTTTTGTTTATTTCTACTCCTCATAGTGACATCCCAGTAAAAACATAAAATTGAATATGTTTAAATTTTCACTTTCTATTGTCTACCTACCAAAAGAAACCCACTTCTCTCGTAAGGATTAGATATAGTTCAAAGGCCTATGTCCAGCAGTGGACTTTGAAAGGATGTGGATGATGATAGTTCAAAGGTTTTCAAAATACTTGATAAATACTTTCATTGCATATTGCATAATTTCTTAAAAATGAAATTCTCACCAATAAATATATCTGCCAGTATAGAAAAAGGTGCCAAGAACCTTAGACTCCGTATTAAACATAGCAACATCAAGACTGGAGTGCTCATTAATATGTAGAGTCTTATATCATCATTAAACCACTCTCTTATGTCAGAACTAACTATTTCCAGTGCCTGTAAATTGGAATAACATCATTTTAAATGCATTGTAAAATGGCGCCCGTATACCCAACTACAGTATTATAGATACACTCACTACAGAAGATAAGATGATAAACAACAACAAAAGAAACTTAACCGCTACGACATCCCTGTAGCCTCTACATTTTCCGATGTTTTATGTGTAAAGTATACTATCTTTCGGTTTGAAGACCTAGACTTTAGCTGGCCTTCATAAAGACCCTGACCTGCTTAAGCTTTTCATTAAAACATCCCTTTTCATCACTTTAAGCAATATTTCGTTGCTATCATCAGGGTGGCAACATGCCTGCTTTTCCTTCTATTATACTCACAATTATTCTAACTTCTAAATTGCCTGGTTAATAATAAGTTTAACTCCTAGTACGCAAGTGCGGCTAAAATTACAATCGACAAGATATGGACGTTAAATGAAGTATCCCTACAATTAAGCGGATGTAGACATGATTATATATTTATAGCCACAACTGATTGATGATAAATAATGTATGAAAAAGCGGTCTAATTCATTTACGTGTACCATATGAAATAATACTCGTAGCAACATTGGACAAGCACTATTGGGAATATACTTGTGTTATTTTTATTGCATTGTCAAACAATTCACGACGCATACAATTTTTTGATCATCATGAAGTTTTAAAACACAAAAACAGACAATAGACAGTATGACAAAAGATCGATAATAAATTTGGCAGGATTAGGCTATTTGATTTAATTACGTACCTGTTTAAATGTATTAGCTATTATGATTTGGTACACGCAACAGGTCCCATACATATAAAGGGCTATTAAAATATCTACGGTAAATCTGTAATGTAAATATTGAAAAATAAGTTGCACGTTTGACCGGTCTTCTTGCGATCACTTAAAATCATCAAACAAAATAATAATGCAACTGCTGAATAAAAATTTGGTTAATTAAACTTTACGGTTGAAACAAACTATGTGATTTAGTAATGATAATAATATTATTTAATGGCTAGTATTTGTAATATCACTAAACTTTAATACTGTATATTAATTTACATTAGTACAAGAAAACAATTATCCAACAATAAACAGGAAAATGACTGAAAAGCGAAGCATGTAAAAGAAATTGTCTTTGACCTTTTTTATTCATTTTTTGTGTTTTTTTTTAATTCAGAGTAAACTTATTTTAATTACTATCGTGAATTCGTTATTTAAAACTCAATAAGAAATCTGCATTTAAATTTATGAATAAAACATATCAGAAAAAAAATACCTGACCTGTTATTAGTTATTATATTCCGAGATACATTTACTTACGGCCTTTATTTTGTCATTGTAAGGATTTAAAAAAGGTACTAGAATTACCTTACCTGAACTGTTTGCTAAACCTTCTAAAGCCTTTCCAAGATCCAGTAGCAGCTGCCACTTCGGCTAAATCTGGGTAGGATAGTTTAGACATTCTTAGTCTAATGTACATTAAATGGGCACATTTGGCTACCATCTGTAAAGAGCAGAATTGTAGTGTATGAGATATACTATTCTATACTTAATTGAGAAGATATTTGAGTCGTCTTTCGTCGTCTTTCATCAAGTGAGTGAGGTTGCCGAAGGAAAAAAAAAACTTCGCCTCTAACACTGTGGTCACTGTACTGTACTGACTGTAATGGGTGTGTGTCTTGAGCTGCAGCTGTCCATGAGTAAAATACAGCTTAATGGTATACCATTAAAAGCATACGTATTCAACAAATATTTTTTTATGTAAGAGGGGATGCAAACGAGCAGGCGGGTATCGGATGTAAAGTGACTACCGCCGCCTATCAACGCCTGTAATTAAGGAATCACAAGCGCGTTGCCGGCCTTTGAGGAAGGAAAGAAGGAGTAGGCTCTTTTCTTGAAGGTTTGAAGGTCGTATTGGTCCGAAACGCAGACGATAACTTCTTTCACTGGTTGCTAGTGCGAGGCAAAAAGTGTCTTGATAGCATTTAACAACTCCCAAAGAAAAGTACAATAGTGGAACTCTTTCTTAGTTTTGTATATCGTTCTCAAACTAGAAAGTATTCTTGTTTTTAGCATGTTATTTTGCGTCTCAGGTTTTAGATAAATGTTTTTTTTTATAAAAAGTTAGATAGATATAGGACTTTAAAATAAAACTGTAGGATACGTACATACATAATATAAGTATTAATTAATCCTATACAGAAAGTGGCGACCAGAGAAGTCCAAAGGCCACCGTACATGAAAGCTTCATGCATAGTCATCACCCCAGCACCTGCTCCCGTTGCGCCCTTGATCATATGAACTATTGATTCTATTATGCTAAAAAAAAAAATTCAGTTATTACTACATTTTGTTAATAATTTCAATTGTACTTTTTACGTTTTTTTTTCAAAATGAAGTGCACCCTTTTTCTGTAAATAATATGACGCTAATTGGCACAATGTCACTGGTTGTATGAAATTTATATATATACGAGTGTGACAAAACACCCAAAACGGTAACAGTTACTACTACTATTCATCATCATCATTAACACCCTTTAATTGCCCACTGCTGGACATAGGCCTCTCCTTAGAATGGAGGTTTTGATCACGCTGGCCAGTATTGGTATAGGGTTAGTATCAGGTTTTACTTCTCTATGCAGTGTTATTTTCCTGCAGAGTTTGCTCTCTTAGTTTGCTCTTAAGACATCCACGGGATGTCACCTATTTAATCTGTCACCACACGGACTGGTTGAAATAAAGTAATTTTATGTCATCGCTACCACCGTATCCAAATTAAAACTGTTAAAAACAGCATTACAATATCTTGCATCTGCGAGTTCTACAGAGGCGAAAGTCTATAAAAAAAATGCTGAATAGCTTATTTTCATTTCTTTGACTTTAACTTTTAATTAAGCTGTATTTAAAAGTTAAAAATATCAAGATTATTTTATACTAACCGTTTCAAATACTAAAATTTTGATTTCCAAATCTCGTAAAAGTTTTAAATTTCTCATTAGTATTATTATTTATTTATTTACTTACTTACACATCATGCACATTTGGTGCATTGGCGGACTTATCGGATTATTTTATAATTTGTGATTTGAACCAATACAAGAATAAATATAAATATATTAATTTTCTTACGTAGTTTTGTGCATGCCGAATCTCTCATTGTTGTAATCATAAGTATCTCTCTCAGCTCCCGGATAATATCGATATTGCGAACTATCAACACTAGGCCTTGCATCATCCACGCTATCAAGATATCTGTTCACTTCAGTGTCTAAAGTCTAGAATCCAGGAAAAAAATTCCAATTCAAAAATCGATTATTTAAAACAGCCTTGCCAGACTAGATTCTCTTTACAGTAGTACCTTCTGACGATCATCATCATCATCAACAGCCTTTAATAGTCCACTGCTGGACATAGGCCTCCCCTTAGAAAGGAGGTTTTGGCCTACTATACCACGCTGGCCAGACGGGTTGGTATAGGTTTGTTTCAAGTTTTCCTTCTCTCTGCAGTTTTGTTGTCCTGCGTAGTTTTCTCCCTTAGTCGCCTCTTACGACATCCACGGGATGAATAGGGGTGGTGACACTCTGTATTCTTAATCCGTCACCACACGGACCTTCTGACGATAGTAAAACGAAAAAGCTACATTTTTACAGTTAAACTATTTACACTTTTTAGCACAATTAACTTAATCAACATAACTAGTAATTAAAACATAGTAATTTCAATAACTAGATTGGTACGATTCAATCATAACGACCAAAAAAACAAAAAGGTTTTTTACTACCTGAGATTTAATAGTGTTTTATATCTATTTTATTATATGCTGATATATCCACATGAAATATGTAAATTTATAAATTTGTTTGTTGTTAAAATTCGCAAAAGAGCCATCTTTGGAAGAGAGTGCAAAATATTTAACCAGTTTGTCATTCAGTTTACCGAGGTTTTAGGTCATTTAGGTAATTCATAATAGATGGCATAAATGACGCCTGAATAATTAGGGCAATACTAGATGTAAGTAATTTAGTTTCTTTTAGGATTTTGTATCTATTTAAATGTAAAAAACCCAAACATTAAAAAAAGTAAATTTAATATTAAAATTATAATTGAAATGATGATGACCTGTATGTATGTATCAGTAAAAAAAAATGTTTTTAAATATTTTACATTTTTTCAATTTATTCGTCGCTTATCATTTTGACATTTTAAATACTTACAATTACTTCTACTTACAGTTTTATTAGCTTCAGATATTGACTCCGCTTCTTCTGCCATCATAACAATCTAAAACTGTTTATAGATATTGTAAACAAATGAGCAAACAAGCTAAGAGCTTATTCAAACCTAGTTTCTATCAGGTGACTGCAAACTGATTTATTTGATTTTTATGACCATTCACTAGGTCAGCAGGGTCATTTCATATACTGTGAAATCGAAAGTCATCATAAAATACTGGAAATATCCAGACAGCACTATAACTACTTATGTAAGTACTAAGTTACACACATACTACTATTAATAATCTCTACTACATCTGTTTCAACATTATTATCAATAGTAATGTTTCTTCCTTATCACACATTTGTACGAATGCCTTAACGTGGAATGGTTTGAAGACGTCCTAACTCCTTGAGGTATTGAAGAAGTTTATTAGGCGTTAGTGTTTAAATTGTTTATAGTACGTACGCTTACCTTTTAAATCATGCAAAAAAAAAATGCCCACATAATACGAAAACATCCTCATTGTAGTTTACATGTTACTATCCCTATCTCAAAGTGGTGAATTTAGTGCTTAAGATATTAATAAGTAGGTTTGTTGAATTACTTGAGAAAGTTTTAAAGGAATTTTATACCGTATCATAAAATCCAAGAGGCTATGAAATCTCTTGTATGGCAATGAGCATTGTGAAAATCTTCGATCCTATCAATCTTGTTTTGGAACTATAGTGAAATTCTGATAGTGAAATTATTCTTGTTAATAACTTTCATTTGGGCACTATTGAAAAGTAAATTGATTTTAATATTGTTATTTTAATGCAATAAAAAAATAAAGGATTAACTTATTTACAAAGTCATCTATTTGACAATAAGAGTAAAAGAGTACTTTTAAAAAGTTTTAAAATAATACTGGCAATAAAACTTTTTGGTGTTTAGTAGTGTTGCCTATACTTACAAACTAATGGAGACAAATACTAAGGAGGATAAGGTTCCCTATATTCAGTTATATAAGAAGGTATGCAAATAAATCTTTTTGTGTTGAAATACTCGATAATTCATTATCGACATACTCGAAGTCTTTACAGTGCTTTTGAATTTCCTACATAATCTATGATTGGAGAAGAAGTAGTGTCATGATTAACAAATACAATACACAGATAATATCAGAGACTACTACACAACAGTTTTAGCTTCTTGTTGTCTTTAACAAAAACAGTTCACTGTTTTCTGATAGTCTAATTTCAAATGTATTGCCTAAAATTTTCCAATGTAACAAGCCATAGTAGTATAGTTTTAAATACTTGCATAAAATCAATTCTAATATGATAACTCCGACGTTTTTTATTTGTTTAAACACGACAATCTATAAAAGACTCAGATTTGAATTATTATTTTTATATTGGATAGAGGATCATCTGAGAGGATCATGAACTGGTCCACAAGTTGAAAGCCGTTCAGAGAGTGATAGAGGGTGTGATGCTTGGTCTAGTAGATAAAATTCGAAACTAAACAATTATACAAAAAAATTGGAGTAACCGACATCGAACAGAGAAAAAGTACGCTACACTGGAGGAGGAGGGAGGACGGACCACCGTCATGTCTCCAGGCGGACTGATGGTCGCTGGAGCCGATATGTGCTAGACTGGATACCGCGATTGGACAAACGTACGTGTAGGGCGCCCTGGACCGCACGATCATGAGGAAACTGGCAGCAGAGGATGAATGCGGGCTACCCAAGACCGGGAGGTTAGCGCTCTTTGAGGGACGCCTTCATTCAGCATTGGACAGTAATAGGCTGAAGTAGAAAGTAGAGGAAACCGGTGAATAATTGTTATTTATTGAAGAATAATATTCGACGAACCTATTGGTCTATCTAGTGGGTTATGACCTTGTGACCTAACCTGGAGATCGTGGGATCAATTGCCACACATCATCATCATCATCAACAGCCTTTAATAGTCCATTGCTGGACATAAGCCTCTCCTGCCACACAGGATAATTATGTGATGAGCATATACGATACTTTGTTCTGTGCCTGGGTATAATTTATCTATAGTAAAAGTGTTTAATAATTTTGGTGTATATTTATCAGCAGCCTGGTTACCATAGCACAGGCTCTGCCTATACTAACTTTTAAGCTATGACAAGCATTTTAAGTACATACTTTTGATTTGCCTGAATTTTTGACCAGGCTCTGCCTAGTTTGGGATCGGACTGCCGTGTGTTTCACAGAGTTCACACCATAAATACATGAAACAGTAGAGCTAATCAAATTCAAGAAGACTTCTGAACGACTTAGAAATTACTAATTCTGTTAGGAAATCCTCAAACATCATACCTTATATCTTTACTTCTTTTTAATGGCATACGGGGTAAACAGGCGAATTGTAACCAGATGGTAAGTGACCGGCAATGGACACCTACACTTAAGATTCACGTGAGTCGCCGTGCTTTGAATCCCTCCCCCCCCACCCGAAAATCAAGGGTTGATCAAGGGGGGATTGTTTGGGATCTCTTAACACCGGTTTTCTTTGAGACCGTTGGATATCACGGTCGAGCCGGCTAATTTGTGCCAAAGCAATGATCTGCCACGTACTCTCTACTCTACTGTATATTTAAACTGTTAAGAAATGGAGTATCGCTCACTAATACATATTAAAAAAATAAAACAGCATCGCAATAAAATTTATTTTATTTGCAACAGTTTGGAGGTATCTCACTTACAAAATCTGATGGTACTCCTCTTGTACTTATATTGTCATCGGATCCTTCATCACATGAGTTACTACTATGATCACACGGATCTTCTGTGGTTGTTGCTTGCTCTTCACAACTGTCACTGTCTTCGCAAGAATCCTTTCCCATAGCATTTGACACACGTAAGAGGGTCTTTACTAAAGGTGCATCCCCATCAACATCTAATCGATTGCGTTTCTCATTATATCTTTTATCTCTGTCCTGATTTCTATAGTTGTTATTTTTAGAAATATATCTATTATTTCTATAATTATTGCCATCATAGTTTAATTTATCGTTCTTGTCAAGTATTATAGTATTGTAATTATCATTATCGTTGTAAATTCTGTCATCGTTTCTATCATTTTTGCTATAACTTTGGGCATTCTTTTTATTTTTATTGTAATGGCTGCTTGCACGATATCTGTTATGTCTATCATTTTTGGTATGGTATTTAGGTCTTCTGTGAGTCTTAGCGTTTGATAATGTTTTGTATGAAAATAGGCTTGCTAATAAGTTACTGATGTCTGGCGATAATTGGTTATTTCTTGCCTATAAATAGATATTAATTGAAAATATTAGATAATCTAATCAAATAGAACTTCGCTGTGACTAAAGTACGATGTCTAGATATATCGATGTACAATAATACAGATTGTCCTCGATTGCGAATATGTTCAGTTTACATCAATATAAGATTAACTTAGATCTTGACTTGTCTATTTTAATAATAATAATAACCAGAATGACTAAGTCTTCAAACGAACTGCCTTGATTATTAGAGTAACAAGTTTGTGGTAATAACGTAAACAAATATGTCCATAACTTGTATTAAAACGAATCCGTTGCCTAAGGTAATTGGCATGAATAGACATGCTTCATTCTAAATAAATGTCTTACATTATTTATAAAAATTCTCTGTTGGGGACTTTTATGGTTATAATTTTATTATCTACATATGATAGATAAAGATTCAGCAGGAAAAGTCCTTCGGAGTATTTTAATTTCTACAATACGTACATAACCATAATTTCAAACAATTCTCCTTTAGAATTATTGAAAGCAAACGCTTCTAAGAGTGTCCTAGAAAGGTATTTCGCAAAGAAATACTAAGGTAAATACAAAATAAAAAAAAGGGTTACTATACATTGGAATCCTGATCAACTTTGTCATTTCTATCGTAGGTGCTGTGACGAACCAATCGGTTTGAATATGGCAGATTTCTATGATTCTGTTTGAGATTGCTACCAATAATAAGTATTATAGGAGCATTTGGATTTGATAGTCGTTTATTAATATTCGAATATTCTCCATGTGAAGCCGTTGGGCAGATCTGGAAATGAATGTTTCATTATAATAAAAAAAATAAGTTGCTTCTTATTTTTGTAAGCTTGAATTTTTCCTTTTCATCTTCTATTAATCTCTTCGGGTGGCCTGAATTAGGGAAGGCGTTTAGAGCTAGCCCACTACAACGCACACAAATGATAATTGACGAGTTTAACTTAACTCAACGATTAACTCATCCGAAATGAAAGGGTTGACTGTGAGACTTAAGCGTGAATGTTTACATCTCCTTTTATTTGTATAATGGTCGTAAATTTTGGCATTTTAAATCACTGATGGACGATAACATTTTGAAGCATATCTGCCACATAATGAAGATGTATTGTTTGTGTTTGCATTACGGCCTCATAGAGAAAGTAAACAATAAAGGAATCAGTGCGTACCGAAATCCTGTAGATCTGTAAAACCTACCTCGTGTTTTATAAAGATTATGGAAAAAATTATACAGTAACATCAGAGGCAACATCGTACAGATTATTATTGCACGATACTCACAACAAAGTTATTAATCTGGAGTTCTGTCATCACAAACACGGCCCTGATAGCATAAATACATACTATATATACTCCAAGATGCAGAAAATATTGCAGTGCATATTCTATATTTTTGTGGCCCAATAATGTGGTAGCGAATAAATCTAAACTTTATAGTCAAAGTCAAAATATCTCTATTTCATAAAAAAAGTTAGCAAAATGAATTTAATAAAAATTAAACTAACACAAAATCCATGATATGCCTGTGCCGATCCACAACCGCCCGTTTCCAAGGGGATGAGAAGAAAGGGCAAACAAACTCATGGCCACTCTTTTGCAATTTACAGATAGATACAATGGCATCATTAAATATACCACAACATTGTTTTGATGTGTGCCAGTATGTCCGTTATTAAGGACTAAAAGGTAAAAAGACAATAAAGATAAAAAAAGGAAAAAGATCAAATAAAAGAGAAAGTAAAGTGAAACATAAAACAAAAAACAAAATAGAAACCAAAAAGAAATAATGCAAAATACACCCTAGCCCACAACAAATACAAAATAACTAACAATCACTGCTTATAACATCTAGAGTTTTCTCAAAGCTATAAGTAGTCCTTGGCACTTAAAGCAAATAATAATATTCCCCCTTTCCAACCCGCGGCCTTCGTCTGTTGGATGTCTGGTTGACAATAAGACAAAACGTGAAATGCGGACAATCCTTTTCCAAGTGTATGCCTATGTGTCACATCACACATCATCACATCAACAGGGCGTTTTTGCCTACTATACCACGCTGGCCAGACGGGTTAGTATAGGGCTTGTGCCAAGTTTTCCTCCTCTTTGCAGTGCTGTTGACCTGCATAGTTTGCTCCCTTAGTCGGCGCGTCCGTGTTCATAATCCGTCACTACACGTAAACCCATATATATAACAACCCTAAAGGTTTATAATGCGTTAATCGAAACCAGGACTATTTAAAAAACTTTCAGTTTATTAATAAAGGTCCTGATCTTATGGATAAAGAAGATAAAGCTGGTTTCCAATCAGAAAACCAGCTTTATCTTCTAACGGAACCTAACCTAAACACGACAGAACGAGACGAATTGTAGAAAAACTAAAGTTTATTAATATAAAATTTCATTTGTACATACGTAATCATATTTAAATTTAAAAATTAGAAGACGTAGCTGTACATAACGCATAAAAATACTTACAAACACAGAAACGGATATTAAGACGCCAAAATATATCTTGAGGTTCCATTTAGTAGCCGCCATTTTGCTGGACGACTAGTTTTCAAGTATTTGATGTAAAACTTCTTGTAAATTAAGTAAACAATATGTTCGGTTTGAATAAGTAATTTTTTTAATTAAAATTTTAGTTTAAATGTATTGTAGGTACATTTATGACTTGTTTATATAAATCATAGTACAACATTGCGTCATGATCGATAAAGACTCTTACTTGAAATCTACTTTTATTAAAATTTTGGTAACAGTGTCAGTACACGTTATTATTCCAAACAATCTGGTAGTTTTGAGTATTTTTAACTGAAATCGTTCATTCAGATAAATACTAACATGGACTTGTAGTCTTAACTTTGTGTTCCTTCTTGAAACTAGGCATAGGAAATAGCGGCTAATTTAAAAAATCATAGCAATAGAATAAAAGCAACTTCATTATAATCGATAAAAAAAGATACAAGAATATATTAGGTGAATATGTATAAACAGTAGCCTTATCAAGTAAGATTATCATTCAATGTAGAAGGTACGATATCCCGAATATACGTACTTTAATAACATTCGTAAATTTACAACATGATTTCCTAATCTATTCGCATGATATTAATATGCTACACTTCTCGGAATTATAAATACACATATATTCATTGAACTTAACCGTAATTTAGGCTTAGGCGTAGCGTAGGCTTTTTCTGGAATCTGAAATTCTTTCAGACTTTGTAATGATCATTACAGTACATGATAGCATTACAGGGGGGCTTAATATTACAGAAACGGTCTAGAATAAATGTATAATGGCAAGTTATTGAGCTAGTAGAGAGAAGATTACAAATTATTCGTAGAAAACAAACTTTATCAACAAATTGTCAGTTTTGCAGCATCCGTGGTTATATAGTTGTTACATTGATTTTTCACGTTCCATGTTCCATGTTCCATGACGTATAGTTTATGTAAATATATAAGGAGTTTTTTTTTATTGCTGGCAAGCGCCATCGCAGGGTGTTATTGCCATCTAGCACCTCCAATATTCATTTGGAGCCTATTATCTACGTTAACCATTCATACCGCTAACTTACATTCCGTACCGCTTTCTGCTTGCCTTCCATACCGTCTAGGTGGATTCCTATTACTCTATTAATGCTACTCTACTATTATATTTATTACGGGGTAATGAAGTGCAACACAAACATATTTTTATTTACACACTATATACATTTTACACATTAAATCTAGATTTACGTTTTACACATTAAAAGTATGAAATTCTTATTTCTTATAAGTAAGTACAAATTTAAGACTATAGGTAACATAATATTATTATCTTATATACTAAACAAATTACTATTACTTAGTTGCTATCTTTGTTATATGTTTAACAATAATAATACTACATTATTTTGTAACATACATTTTAAGTTCTATTTCTTATATTGACTGCCTCTACTTTTTCTGTATAGTATTTTAAAAAAATACGACTATTTTTGCTTTTCATAATTTTGCTTAAATTTGCAAGTGTTACTTTCATGTCTAACCGATGTTCCTCCTCATACCTTTGCCTACCAAAGGTAGGGCACTCGACAATAAGGGGAGGCACGGTCTCGCTGGCATTCGGGTCACAAATGCATGATGGGTTCTCTTTACACTTGAATCGTGTCAAGTATTCGGAGAACCCACCATGCCCCGTTAATAGTTGGGTCGTAGTGCCGGCGACCTCCATCCGACGTACGACGCCATAAGCAGCCAGCGCGGTCTCGCACTCTTTGTACCCTTGTTCCATTCGCCAAGCGAGGCCTGTCGAAGACCCATCTTCACGAACAAAACAGGGCACAAACCGTAGTCCGGTGCTTTCTTCAGCCCCAGAGCCGCCTCCTTAGCGAGCTAATCGGCTCGCTCCTTACCCCGGGTCATGCCTTTTTGAATAGCTACTCTGGCCTCCACTACCAGGGGATGGAGGGTATGACGGTTAATTACCGTCAGGAGTGCGGCTCTGCTATCGCTGAAGATACCGAACGTGGCTTCGCCTCGCCTGAGAACCTCACCGGCCGCTTTGCACAGGGCCAGAATCTCGGCCTGATAGACGGTACAGTGTGGTGACAGAGCAAGTTTGAGGGCCCTGGTTTCGGCCCCGTTATTCTAAATGGACAACGCCGCGCCGACCCGACCCTCAATCTTGCTCCCATCTGTAAAGGTGCGCACCTCGATGTTGTCGGTGCGCTGTAGTTGGTAATATATAAGGTGTTAATTCCCATATATTTTATCATAGTAGATATTAAACAGTAACGCATTGCTTAACGCAAGTGACAACGTATTATTGATGTGGGTGAGAGCTGAAACCAACAAGCATCCTACGTTCCTGAAAAAATAGTTATTTATTTGTTTACTCTTAATAATAACGGCCTCTGGCCACTTACACTAATTAAAGGAAAAACATTAATACAAATAAACTATACTATACAATAACTATATCTATGTACGATATAAAACTGCGCTTCTTCTAACACACAGTATTCTCGCAGTGCACCAGCATATTGACATAATCGGCTGCCATTCTTCCGCAAACAAGTTAGTCCGGATTTGACTCCAAGAGAGGGTTGAGTGCGGTAAGTGCCTGAGAAGTGGGTCAATTAAAATGTGCTACCGTGCGATATAAAGGTCGTACAAATAGTCTGTAACTTCTACAATACATACAACAATCAATAAATATTCTTTTGGGTGAATTCTACTAAAACTTCTCACACTGTTCTGATCTGATCATGCGTTCTCATCACATTTAGTGAGTGATATCCTAAGCTGCCCAGAAGATATAAAGTAGCCTTATGTATAAGAATCTCAAGAACGCTTTCTGAACCTTCTCTAGGAAAAGGAAGTTTATGATTTCATAAAAAAATCTATATGTAAACGTTGGATTCTAATTTACTGCGAAAAAAGGAATTGTACAGTGTACTTACTACGTCATTACTTGAAATTTCTTTCACATTTCTGAATCGGCAAATAATCAGAAGAGGGATACTATCAAGTATTATTAATTTCTTAAAACGTTTAGAACATGGAGTTGTAAGCATCTGAATATGCACAGGTGCTGGTGAAAACGAAAGATACTACAATTTATTGATTCCTTTACTGATTTTACTGTTCTAAGAGAAGAGCCCTAGCAGACATCAGTGGTCTGAAAGTCATTACCTAAAAATGAGAAATAACTCATCTAATGATGCGCGAAACATCAAAAAAAGACAAGCCTCTTTGAGACAAGGTTATAATAATTTTAGATTTCATCCAAAAGTGTATTTTAAGTTAGTTCATGTCTTATTAAGTACTTAAATAATCCGCTTTGATAATGAATAAGTCGTAGGGACAAGTAATGAAGGCCTCGGACTCTTGCCTTCACTCTTTAAGTTATGAACAACCCCTGGGGGAGAGATCAAGAATTTATTAAAAAACTAATTAACTTTGACAGTCAAAAGTTCTTAAACTACAAGTTCAAATTGAATGTTATTGAGAATATATCTAATCCCTTTAAGTTACTGAAAATTCAATGTTCTAGCTTTAGCCAGCACAAAATTACAGGATGTTGAAAATGGCCTAAATGGCTTCGAAAAAAAGGATAGTACAGACTTGCCTCTTTATTTTGATCAACTGAATACTGCATAAAGTATTTACCTATAAGAATTTGTTACGCTATTGTTATATGCGTGTGTTTTTAAAGTGTAAACAGGCGTTAGCGAACCTAGTAAATAAATATACAACCTAACAGTCAAACTGCTTTAAAAATAATACATAAAACAATGAAAGTCTACCAACACTCTTTTATACCGTAAAAAGTAGTGACATCTAATTCTTATTAGCGGTCTGTGAAAATTGAGGCTACTTACTTAATCGACAAGAAAAGCTCGGTCGAAGAGGTGTACTACCAATTGCTTACAGAAAAAGATGCTGTTGCTGTCCTTGTTTCTTTCAATTTGATATATGGGAGTGTTGACGGATTCGTTATTATTAACACCGCTAGGAAGCTCATGAAACTTATATACAGGCTAGATGTTAACTTTTTTACTAAAGTTTTTATATGTCTATTGTTACTACATTACTACTATACGCAGATGATGCCATAGGGGTTCCTAACTTTTAACCTAAGAAATGTACTACTTTTTTAAGACGTATGTTGAGCGGATTGTTTCTGATATAATAATAAATGTCTTGAAAAATTAAAATCTGTTCCTCAATCAAGCTCATTTAAGTTTTATTTAGCAGGCACCAATATAATTTCGATCACTTTTTTAAATGAAAACTTCATTATGTTAATATTATTATACTTGCTAACTCTAGTCTGAATCACCGATTATAGTGTTTTTTTTTTATAATAAATCTAATCGCATAAATTGTATTCTTTCGTATTTTTAAATGATTATATTAGTTCTAATAGTCATATCGAAGTGATACCTTTACTGATCTGATATTGGGAATTTAAAAAAATCTTATCAAATTTATGCTTGTGTTATTTTGGTCGCCTGGGGTTCTCGAGTAGTTAATTCCTAGGGTAGGTATACCCGAATCCATTTAGCAATAGGCTAAAATTTGATGGTACCGTATGGTTTTAGCTGGTTCTATTACTTACCGTACTTACCGTACAATAACCATTTCACCTTGAGCCGCAGTGAGGTGAAGTGATGATGGTGGTTTCTTCCAATAAAAAAGTGTTACCTTAAAGGATAATTATATTTCGAGGATGCCTGGTTAGTTTCTGACATGACGGGAGGTTTTATCAAAAGATGAGACGTCCGTTCCAGACTACGGCCGACAAGACGGCAGCGCCTCCCCCACCTAGAGAGAGAGACGCTGCCGTCCCCGTTGCCCAGGGTGCACCACATGGAGGTTCCGGACCACACACCCCTCTATCTCTTTTACCTAACATCTAATACCTTTATATTAGTCGGATTTGATCTATGAATTCCTTACCGGAGATTCCTTTCATGAGCTTAGGTTGGCGAACCTACATTCAGCCTTTCTAATAGAATGATTTCTAATATATTCCAACTGCACTTAAGCTAAATTATTTCAAAATCATAGTATGGGAATTTATAGGTTATAAACCATGGTTACGTGATTCTGTTAACTACGTTATCTGATATGGTTCTCAAAAGTTCTTAAAACTCTCGACTGAGAGTCTCAATCAGTTCAGTCTCAATCCAAGAATTTTAAGTAAAGTCCTAAATTATTCATTACCATGTTGAAATACACATACTATTATAATTACGTATGAAAATACATTGTTAAATTTCAGAAAAATATATTTCAGATATTTCGTATGTAAAATTTGACACATTACGTTTCATTAAAATCATCAGTCAAAAAATTTATTACTTCTGTCTTCTATAGTTATTGGATTATCTGTCCTCATTCCTGGAGTTCCTATTACGGTTATTACCTCTGCTGCTAGCGAAGTATCTATTACTTCTATCATCATTCCTGTCATAATTTCTGTCGTCATTCCTGTCGTCATTTCTGTCATCATTTCTGTTAAAATTTCTGTCGTTATTTCGGTCATTATTTCTGTTATAATTTATGTCATTATTTTTGTCATCATTTCTGTCATCATTTCTGACATAATTTCTGTCGTTATTTCTGTCATCATTTCTGTTAAAATTTCTGTCGTTATTTCTGTCTTCATTTCTATTGTTAACTGCTTTTGCCTGCAAATAAATAATTAAACAATGTTTTAATATCTTTAATTAAGTCATGATAATGCTCAGGGGCTATAAGATAATAATAGATATAGTGATAATTAGGGATTTAATTGTTTAAGGGTTATATATGTAGTTGTCTCTCTAATTTGCATTATTGGTCTATAAAAACATCTATAATTATAGCTAATTAACTAACAGAATTATAATACAACATTGTGTGACGTTTTATTACGTTTCCTTTTTTGATTCTCTCATATTTCAGACGAGTAGAATTGTCATCTGATGGTTAATAATTACTGCTGCCAATAGACACCTGCAACTTAATAGTCACATTTGCATTACCACCCTTTCAGTTGAAAGCACCAAAAGAATTGCTTTACACCAGTTTTTTGTGAGCCCATGGTATCAATCCGGTCGAGCGTGGTCCATGTGTCGCTGCATGATTCTTCCACGACTAAGATTAGTAATAATAATATTAATGACGATTAAAACGAACCTCATGAGCTAGTTTATAAAGGTACAAAAACGGGTAAGGAACATCTTCACCATCATCATTTCTGTTATTGTCTACATTTCTGTCATTCGGCTGACGGGGAAATTGCTTATTATGATGATGATGGTTATTTGCCAAGATTAATACTACAGGACGGTCTTCTATTGCAGCCCTCTGGTAGAGATTTGATACAAGATCTGAATAATCACCAACTGACGCTGTTTGGACATTCTGAAAAGAAACAATAAGCACTGTTGAAATAAAGTGATCCCACCACCTGTAAATATAATTTGTACAAATATAAAAAGAATAAAAAGTAAGGTACTGAAATGTCTTAGTTTATTTTATTTAAATTGAATATTTATTTTTTCTTGATAGTTCTAGAGAGGATGATGTTATTACATTTAATAGTAGGAATATATTTCTACATATTATTATCCATGTAAAAAGAACTTGTGTTTTTTATAATCACCAGTGTTGCCACTGTTTTTGATAAATCCTAAATATAGATAAATATTAATTTGTGCCTAAATGTATTTTTGTGCACATAATAAAGTTTTGAAAATAAGAAGATACAGAAAAAATAGGAATACCTGGGTGTATCACAACGAATATTTTGTTAGAACTTTTGTTGTTTGCTAAATCTTGCCTTATGTCAAATGTTGAACTTGATTAATAAAATCAATAGTTTAAAAATTAAAAAACACGCTTTTGTAACTAGATGAACTAAAAAGTAGAAAACAATTTCTAAAACTTTTAAATACAAAAAATATTTTATCGTAATAATGAGAGGGATGGGGGGGGGGGGGGGGGGCTACATCTCAATTGTGTATAAATGTTTTATTGACAGATATTGGTTTAAGTAAAGTTATCATATTATAAAATCTCTTAAAAAACACCCCACGCTTTTACGATAAAATGATTTTTCTTTTTGTACTTATAGAAAATTATTTTCTACTTTTTAGTTCGGCTTGTTACAAAGCGTGTTTTCTATTTTTTTAAACAGTAGTAATAATTTTTTTTGTAATTAATGACATAATTTTTTTCATTATAATTAGAAAGTAACAAGTAAGTAAGTAAGTTACATATGCTTCAGCACACGCTTCTTACTACTCTACTTAACAAAAGACACAACCGTATTTTAGAAATGGAAAAAGCCTTTAATCCTGAAGATGCTGATCAGGATAATCGGCCAGATTTATCAAAGTATTGTACTGTCATCGGTCCTTAGTAAGTGTGTGAAGTTTCAATTTAATTCACCTTTTTGAAGTGGAACAAAATCATGTTCGAAGATTCCGTTACATACAAACCAAGCTTTCAATTTGTGCATATATATTTTTTTCTAGTTTATGTTTAAATTAGACAAATTTCCTAACGCTAAAACTTTAACACTGAAATGATTGACTAAAATGAATATTCTAGTTCATTTTATTTAAGTATTTAAAAGAATTAGTAGTAGTAAGTTTTCTTTATTAAGTTATTTAAATTAACTTACAGTTACAAAAAGCCCCAGAACAATATTCAGAAGTATGTGCAAAAGTGCCTTGGTGAGCGACATATTGTCCGGTCCGAAATTTACTTGAACAGTATGCTTCACGATGGTGATTTTTACCAAGTACACTTTACGCTTCACCAAAAAAAATAATCACAGTTATAGAAAACAAAACAGGTGGGGCAGTTTGGGTAATATGTGTTATCTACAAAAACGTAACTACAATATTATATTGTAAACATAATTCCCGCCTTAGTCATGGTATTACGCACCATAAAATTTCAATTTCATTACATAACAAACCAGTTCCTAATTATAACTGTAATCATGTTACCGACAAAAACTCGAATCGTTGTTGAACTAAATACACTTTTTTTGTTTTGTTTTTTTTAAAAGACTACTCCCGCATTAGTAATATATTCCTGTGCCGCGGGGGACTTTACAAACATACGCGAAACACCCAGACTCAGAACAACATTTTGTGGATCACACAAAGTGTTGTTCCATGCGGAGATCGAACCCACAACACTCAGCTTAAACCACTACACCATCCAATTCAAAGAATTGTGCGCTTTTTACGCTTTATATTAGTTTCATCTATCTATAAAACAGATTCTTAAAACGTTGCTATCACCAACTTTAACGTTACGAAACTTTAAGAAAAGAATGCCCGTCCCCTTTAAGTCCGTCGTTGTACATAAAGTTACATAAATAAATAAATTCAAAACTAATGTACTTATAAAATGAAATCTTTATTTAACCAATATAAAACAAGTCACTCATCTTTCTTTAATTATTCTAACAGATTTATGGAGTTTTCATAAAGCTAAGCTCTTTTGATATTCATTAAAAAGTGTACACATCACATTTTTCAGTTTTGATTATACATCATAGCCTTGACCTTTTACTTTCATCTTCAGGCCAAGAGTTCCGCAATGTATACAAAAAATATGTTGTTCCATAATTTTCAAAATATAGTTTTCAGAAGCATTCTTGCATAGATGCCAGAGCAACATGTCTGCTGGAATGTCTTTGCGAGATGGCTTTAAAATGTTTAATAGATTTTCCCCGACTACCTGTATGACATACTGCTTTGATACCGTTTAATATTAGAATATATTTTCGAGAATATTTTGAAGAAAATAACTTAGCAGAATTTTACTAACTTGCGGCAATAAAATTTTACAAAGTAAATTCGTAAAGCGTTTCATTTTTTGATGCTTTGCTTTCTTTAAATATCATGTTGACCATGTGGCGAGGGATTAATAATACGGAGTGTCACCACCTCTATTCACACCGTGGGTATCGTAAGAGCTGACTAAGGAAGCAAACTAAGCAGGACAAAAGCACTGGCAACGTGTATGCAAAACTTAACGATTAATAATCGAATAATGTACTGCGGTGCTCAAACAAACATTATTTTTACATGAGTGTACTATATTATAACTATTTTTTGTCCGACCGATCGAGCGAGACGATACACCAATGTCTTTTTATTTATAAAAAATATAATTCCTAATACCCAAATTATCACCTAACTACGGTCAGAGGTTAATTATCTAGGACTAATACCGGATAGTAACCTCATGTTGGATAAGCACCTCGATGAAAAACTAAACAAAGCCTGCATTGTCTTCTGCCAATGCAAATGGCTACTCGGCAAAAGCTGGGGACTATCATCAAAAATTACGCCATAGATCTACAGAACACAACTGCGCACAACGCCAATGCCACACTGGAGGTGGCCCTGTGTCTACCTCCACTGGATTTGTTCATAAAACAGGAGGCCGCCTTGGCGATCATTAGACTCAGACACTTGGGTCTGTGGCGTTAAGGTGAGGGATCGCATTCCAAATCATGTGATCAATTAGTGACCAACAAATAACTAATAGCAGCCCCATGCGATAGGAGCCCAAAACACCATATCTTCACAAAAAGATATAAGATTCAGATACAATAAAATGTATCAATCATGCATTAACAAAGTCCGAATTGACACGGATGGTTCCAAGACTGGTTCAGTAATTGGAGCCGGAGTTTTCAAGCAAGACCTAAATATGAAAATGTCACTAGCGTTAGGTCAACACAGTTCCATATTCCAATGCGAATGACTCACACGGCTATCTCTCGCTCGGCAACCCCGGCCGCCAGCCCAACCACACTCCTGCCACTGACTTTTAACCAACTTCGATCCTGGGTTAGACAGCATACTCGTGAAGCCCACAACCGAAGGTAGAAGAACTCACCAGGCTGCACAACAAACAGCCACTAAGTTAGATGAGCTACAATTGGAATGTCTGCGACATCCACCGTACTCCCGGACCTTGCTCCAACAGATTACCATTTTTTCCGGAATTTGGACAACTTCTTACAAGGAAAAAAAATCAACTCCGATGCGGCAGTCCAAACCGTTTTCAAAGAGTTTATTGATTCTCGATGCCATGGTTTTTTTAGTAAAGGGATCAATGAACTACCTATGAGATGACAAAAGTGCATACTTTGATTAATTAGATATATTTTACAAAAAAAAAAGACTTGATATTCCACCCTTACAAAACGCCAATTTCATATGTAAGGATCTAATTTTAATATCTCACTTATGTTCATATTTAACCTTTCGTTGTACTTAAAATAAATAATATTCCATGAAACATGTTCTTATTTTTTACCTATTTTAGAATAAGACTAAACTACATGACTTACCTGCTTTTATGTTACTTTAACTACATAATCATTTAAATCACTGTAACTTCTATTACCGTTAACAGATTTTAATGAAATAAAATCAGAATGTTACTGAAGGATACATTTTATAGCTGTCTTGCCTAATTTTTTACATAAACTTAGTGGTAATGCATATTCAAATAAACAGACATACATGTATTTATATAGATATTTATTTATTGAATATTGCGTAATGACATCGTGTTTAAAAATATCAAATCCCAACAATTAATAGGTTCCTAATAGGTTGTATGTAAATTTGTCAATTCTTATTAAGTATATTGATTCTTCCACAGGTGCCAATTGTCCTCTAATATTTTCTGTACAGTACATAGTTTCAAAGTCAATATTTATGGAACCTAATTCATGTGAATATAATAGATTAGAGAACCAGGGAGGCAAATTATTAAATTATTTGCATCACCATTTTGGTGGCATGGTCCTTCCACAGTGTGGACCACAATAGTAAAAAGTTTTCTTTTTTCCTGGAGGATTGCACGTCATGAGATAATCAAATACATCTTGACAGCTTTTTTTACACTTGTCTTTACTTTTCTTGGGTCGACATTTTACTTTGCATTCAAGATATGCTTCACATCGAGAACGCAGCGCTTTCTGAAATTTTAAGTTGGTTTCTGCTACGTCTGGGTCGTTTTCATCTCCAGTAGACTAAAAAATTATAAAAAATGTAAGTTGAATTTCGAACTTCATTTCGAATCGTTTTTACATTTGTTGATTTACTTTCGCAATTCGTGTAGAAATTTGTTTTTAGTAATTGGGACTTAACGACGGTAATTTTTAAAAGTTACTACTTAGTTCTACTGCAGGAAAGCTATGAGTATACCAGCGTTACGCGATTATTTCGTTGCTTTTAATCGAATGAGTAAGGTACTGAAGTCCACTCCTCTGATTTTGCTCCAAAAGGTGGCAACGCACTTATGACCCTTGAACTACAGGTTTTAATGAGCGACGGTTGTCGCTTACCATCAGGTGTTACGCTGATCATCATTCAACTTCACATAAAAATTGTCACAGATAAAAGAACAGGAGTGCAAAAGAGTAATAAAGTTTCACAAAGAAAAAGTAACTACTGTTCCTAAGGACGCCTGAATTTATTTTGAAAATGTAGATTTATAAAAGCAAATTTACGGGATACACAAATATATATAAAAATATCAATATGATGGCTTACCCTCAAAATGTCTTTGACATACCGCAGAGTTTTTTCCTCATCTATTGCATCATTAAAACTTCGTAGTGGTTGATCGAGAGAAGACCTCAGCAGAAGATTATTAGACTCCGAAGGTGTATCAACCACTACAACGAGAGGGCTCCGAGAATATTTGCCAAGAATTTTTGAAAGAAGTCCGAATGAGCTATCTGGTAATTTTGCATTGATCACATTCTGAAACAATAGACTTTTTAAGTAGGGTAAGTAGAATTTCTGCTGTGTAGGCCGCTAGAAGAAGAAGTACCTTTATTTTACATAAATTTCTATAAACCAATTGTCTTTTAATCACTTCATGAATTTATTTAAACACCCTAACCACAGATGATTAGAGGACTTATGTGTACTTGTTTTAGTTATAAGTTACTACCTCGAGAGGTAAAATGAGTTTAAAAAACCTTCTTCGTCTTCTTACATTTTAATCTAATTATGCTTTATACTCTAATTCCATTGAGTACTTACTGTTCTCATTATTATAAATGAAATATTAAGTCGTTGATGAATCAACCAGTTTTAGTTTGCCGTAATCTTGCTCGCTTGTTTGAACGTTTTTTCAGATCATACTTTCAAAATTATATAACTATTTCACAGTTTTATAGAAAATTAACGGACTACAACTTTTATTAATAAGTAAGTAAATTACGATAAAAACTTACGCTTTTTATTAAAATTGTGATAAGAATTGGAAAAATGGCTTGCTCGGGTCTTACCATGTCGATATCAACTACGCACTTGATATTGATTCATTATTTACTTTTTATATTTGTTTTGTTTTACATTGGTGATTTTAATTAATTCAAACTACCTAGTTTGTCGATGGAGATTAATTTTTAACATACAACATGGAAATTTCACTTGTGATACTTAAGAACAATAATTACGAGATTTCTGTAGGAGGCAAAGCCACAGTATGCAATGGAGTGACTGCCTAATGTTTAGGAAGCTACAAAGATCTGCTGGGATTCATTGATTTCTTTCTAGGATATACCCGAATTTCTTACAATAGACTTGTGATAAAACACCGTGACGTATTAGGGGCCCCGGTGAAATGATGACTCGTGGTTCCACACGGTACATAAAAAGTTTTAGTCAATGCTATCATTTATAGAAATGTAAATATATGTCTGCCTACTTACGAATACAATATACACTTAACTTAAAACTTGCTATCCAGAATTTGAACCTAAAGATACGATGGAAGTAGACACCAGATCTCCGCTGCTCAGTGACAAAGCCAAATGTAGGTTGTTCAAAATAAATAATACTTGTACACTTTTACAGATACAGCACTACTAAATTTACATACTTTATTACTTTTTACTAAATTTGTAAGAACATGATAACATTAGGTGGTCACAATTTTATTTAGTACATCTAAAGAGTATGCACCGTAGAACATCCGTAGAACACATCAAAAGAAATCAAAGCAAGAGTTTGATTTGGTTTACTGGTTTGTTTAGTGCACAATACAAATTATGGTGTAGTCGAACTTTAGAAGCATGTTTCTGTTCATGTTTTGTTTATGATTGAATCAATGACCATATTTAGGCTATTACAAGTCCCGCTTTGCCACAGTGGAGGCGCTCCAGTCGGTCATCGTCGAGTGGGCAAGGTAAATCAGGTAAAATAGGCAGCCACGAGGAGGTGACATCCACGTAAGTATATTTATCAGCATGCACATCTTAGCACATGCTCCGCCTAGCTTGTTATCAGACGGCCTTGTCTGAAATGCGTCAAGACATTATTGTTAATTTATTTGCATAGGAATATGATATCTTGATCTTAATTTAGAGGTTATACAAATACTCAGTAGATAGGCATCATTCTCATCGTCATAGGCAGTCAAAGTATGACCGGAAAGATTGACCAAGACAAACTGCCACTGATTACCTTTACCTGCGTAGTCATTCCCTTCAGTCCTTCTGTTAAGAACCTACGCCTATTTATCGACTCTGAGCTTAGCTGACAAACCCAGGTCACCAGCGTCAGCCAGATAGTTACAGCCTTCTATCAGCTTAAGAACTTCGATATAGATTATCGAAAGAGATTAACCCGTCAAATTAAAAAGTACCAGAGATGTTACCCGTTACGTGCTTAATGACAAAATCTTCCGTTTACAATACCAACATGTTCATTACATGCTTGTGCATAATGTATGTCACTTAACAAAAATACATAGCTTAAAAGTTGAATTGACGACGCCACCTGAACCACTAAATTCATTACTTTCGGGGGCAAATACCTACTCGTATATCAAAGCATTTCTTGCAGAATATTCAGAATTACAATAGTGCGTTCCAAATGAAATCATTTGATGCCAAATTTAATTGAAGAACCTGGTTTCAGTCCAACTTTTAAAGTATGTTTTTTACTATGTGTCACACATTATGCATTATTATTTTTAAATTTGAAGGGTTTAATTAGTTTCTATAGTCTTATGTCAATATATGGAATTATTGATGATCCAACTTTTTTTTATTTACTGGAAGTGTAACATTTCCTTAGTCCGCGTAATAAAATGGTAAAAAAGTCTTTCATAAATATATTAAATATTCACGAAAATAAGAACAAGGCATTACAAAGTTCGGCTGGTCAGATAGTTTACAATAAAAATTAAATCTTGTTGCACATTTTTTTTATGTTAGAGGGGGCAGACAGGTCACCAGATGGAAAGTGACCATCACCGCCCATGAACGTCTGTAACCCAAGAGCCACAAACGCGTTGCCGGCCTTTTAGGAAGGAGTACGTTATTTTCTTGAAGGTCGGATAGGAATAGGTCCGGATAGGAAATACCGCAGACGATGATTGATTTTTCGATGTCACGTTGCAAGTTTTATTTGGGTATAAATAATTATGTAATAACGATTGAACTGTGTGAACAAATCGAATTACGTAGAATAAAAAACAATTGATATAGCTGTTAACAATTGTTTATTGATTCACTATCTTTTGAATGTAAGTTCATTCACGTAATGTTATTTCTCTGTCAATCGGAAACTACTTTCTCAGCTTTTTTAACCTCTTTATATAATGCAAGTAGATTTATTCTAATTATTAATCAATAAATAAATCTCTTTTAAATGTAGATATATATTTAAAAAAAAAGTATATAGGTATTTATCAGTCGTCTAGTACCCGTAGCTCAAGCTCTGCTTAGTTTGGGTAGATGGCATTGTGTGAATGTCGTAGAATTTTATTATTATTATTAGTATGAAAAGACCAAGAAAAATGAGAAGAAAATAAAACCATCTAAAAGGTCCGTTCCTGCACATTGGAAATAATTTGTTGAATCATCTTTTGGTCATCACCTATAACTGTTTCTTTTGTATAAATGTATTCTTCTGTTGCAAAATATATAAAAAAAATACAATAGAAGAATATTAATCATTAATTAAATTAACATACTTTATTCATAAAATAATAATATTATAATATATAATTTATTAACTTATATAAATATAAATATATGTCACAGATTCAAAAGGATTTAAATCCACGTGTCGAATATTGTTGTCCACCCTCTTGATTTATCACCGATCAGTACGCACACTCGGCGCAGGCGACGTCTCGGCAACAAGCGATGTGATTAACGCACGCACCGCTGACGGATATCAGTTATGACATAGACAACTTCATTATATTCTGTTAACCACAAAATATTGACATTAGGCTCAGTGCTGCCATCCGAATAAATGAGAAAATCATTCATTCTTCGACATATATTAATTATAAATAGTAACCGGTAAGTTAATGTCATTGTTGTATAGTGGCTAGCTGAGACGTAGGCTCGAAAGAGATGCTTTTCTTGGGTGTAAATTAAACGCAGTGCGTCAGCCAAGATATGTAAATTCTATATAGCTTCGTAGTTTCTATATAGTTTGCGATCGTAAGGATTTGATTTTACCAACATTACGTCACAAGTCTAAATGATTGACATTATGTCAGCGACATGTATCGTGTAGCGGTGTATAAAAATATGTCAGTGTCACTATTGTTTATCGGTAACTATAATTGTTGTTAAAACAATCTATTGGGTTATCAAAATTGACCTCAATCGTATAAAAAGTAAAATTTTACAGTACTTTATAGAGTGTAAGATAAAACCAGAACTAACTATCTATTTAAACAACCGAGTATTTATTACACGTAACACTGGCCCCGCCCAAATTGGGCAAAAGTCGCCCTAGGGCGGAGGCAGTGTCCACCAGCTTCGGACCAAGCTGTCGGAAGTGCTCGTCGAAGCCGTCTAGGACCAGACCCAGGTACCTCATCTGGGCCCGAACCGGTACGAGGACCGAGCCGACCTCGATTGAGGCGCCGGCAGGTGGACCACGACGGGGCCCATGAAATAATAGGGCCTCCGTCTTATCCAGGGCCACCCGCAAACCCAACGCCTCAATGCGCCCGACCACCAGGGAAACTCCCGTGGCGGCCAGAGTTTTTTTTATGTAAAATGTTTTGTTCACGACCAACATTGTTTGTGCAAGTATTTGTTTTATTGGACTCAGTCCACAGTATGAAAAAAAATATATTTTTGTGATTCATGTATTTTCAGACTTCATTTTATTGCGTAATGGTTTAATTACAGGCAACAAGCTATGCGATCATAAGGACGGAGGATGCGTTACAACTGGGGCAAACAATGCTTTAAAGACTACAGGGAGTCAAAGCTATACAGGGAACCAAGCGATCCACTGTATTTACCGGACTGTGAGGGAGAAACGAGATCTGAAAAAGTTTTGAAGTACAAAATAAAAAATTGCACGCTGTCAGAAATGAAGAGTTGCCAGTTTACATCCTACCTCAGCCTATGCTTGTCCACTGCTGGACATAGGCCTCTCCCAATGATTTCCAGCGGGGACGGTTGATTGCGGCCTGCATCCAACGGTTTCCGGCAACCTTTACCAGGTCGTCCGTCCATCGGGTAGGCGGTCGTCCCACACTGCGCTTTCCAGTACGTGGTCTCCATTGGAGAACCTTGCTGCCCCATCGGCCGTCAGTTCTCCTTGCTATGTGCCCTGCCCATTGCCACTTGAGCGCGCTAATCCGTTGGGCTATGTCGACCACCTTTGTTCTCCTGCGGATCTCCTCGTTGCGGATTCGATCACGCAGGGAGACGCCAAGCATAGCCCTTTCCATAGCACGCTGAGCGACTCTGAGCTTTCTGATTAGGCCCATAGTAAGAGTCCACGTCTCAGTTCCGTAGGTCATCACTGGTAACATACACTAGTTGAAGCATTTCGTCTTTAGGCACTGAGGTATTTTGGACGTGAAGACGTTTCGTAATTTCCCGAACGCTGCCCAGCCGAGTCGGATTCGACGATTGACCTCTTTCTCGAAGTTGGACTTACCTAATTGGACCGTTTGTCCTAGGTAGACATATTCGTCAACAACTTCGAGGACAGAGTTTCCCACGACTATGGGAGTCGGCGCGACATGGACATTCGACATGACTTTCGTCTTGTCCATGTTCATTTTAAGGCCGATCTGTTGAGAAACTCCGTCGAGGTCAGCGAGCATGAAGACCGAGGAGTATAATCGGCCACTATGCTTGGCGTTTGTGGACTATGAGACAGCCTTCGATTCGATCGAAACTTGGGCAGTCTTTAGGTCTCTCCAGCGGAGCCGTATTGACTATCGGTACATCGATGTATTGAAGTGTTTATATAATAACGCCAATATGTCAGTTCGAGTACAGGACCAATACACGAAGGCAATTCCATTACAGAGAGGGGTAAGACAGGGAGACGTTATTTCTCCGAAACTGTTTACCGCTGCTCTGGAAGATGCCTTCAAGCTCCTGGAATGGAAAGAACTTGGCATCAATATCAATGGCGAATACATCACTCACCTTCGATTTGCCGACGACATCGTAGTCATGGCAGAATCGCTGGAAGACCTGGGACAAATGCTCGCTGACCAGTTTACATATCTTACATAAATATTCAAAATGTTATATAAGTTTATACTCACATCATTTATCTTTCGACGTTGACTTTTACTTGAGCAGCTAATATTTTCTAATAGTATGTGTATGATCATGATGACATTTATTTATTACTAGCTGACCCTGCAATCGTTGTTTTGCTATTTACATTATTTAAGTTTTTTTTTTTAATTTCTTAAAATCCGTTCTTAGCTGACCTCTACTCGGTGAAAAGAATATTCCTACCAAATTTTAAGTCTTTAGCCCTAATGGTTCCAGAGATATCGTGATAAGTGACTATATACGTGGAAATCTCTTATATATATATAGATAAGTTACGGAGAATGGATTTTAATGTTATTTTGTTTTCGTAGAATGAATGCTGAAGTTCAGATCTGAATTTTTATGCGGGCAATTGGTTTTAAAAATGATATACCTATTGGTCTCGTAGAAATTGACGGACAACGTTATCTCGATCTTAGATAAAGTGAGTATTTTCAAATTACGTCAGTCTTTGTCATTGCAGACTTTACATGGAGCTATGACTCTGTAGTGTACCTTACACTATTCTCACACACCTAATTTACACACTAATGTTATTTACATTTCATTATTTTGCACTTATTTATTTATATATACAAAGGTAATTTCGATACCGGGTGGTCGTAATTCATTTCGAATATTACCGACTGGGTCCTATTCCTATTACCGCGCATGCGTGGGATTGATGTGATGTCACTTAGCTACGTTGAATGGTGATATTTTTACTATCTTATATACAATACTCATATACAATCTTGCAGTAGAAATTGAAGAAAACACGTCAACCAAACCAACCAAACAACTTGAGAATACATTAAAATTAGCTAAGGCGGAAAAATATCACACAAATATATGGGATCACACAAAGTGTCGTCCCATGTGGGGATCGGACCCACAACACTCAGCGTAGTAGTAAGCGTGCAGTCAAATTTGATTGATTACGTACTTTAAATAAAGACCATTTTTTTTTGATAATTACAAATGGATTTCAGTTTTTTCCCGTTAGTGAAGTGTTGTATACTACATGTAGTATAGAATGATGTTGCTTGCCTTATTTCATAGTTCTAGGTCAACGAGAAGTACCCTATAAATTTTGCTTCCCTTGACCAGTTTTCATTTACTAGATGGTAGAATTTCCTTAAGAAATAAATAGTATACCTCCTTACGAGTATATTATTATTATTCACAGTGTACGACCATAGAGAAGTATTCTTTTGTTCGTACACTACAGGTGTATTTATTTGTATTTATATTATGTATATTTTTTTAAGCTCACCTTTATATATTCATTAATAAAATAATTTACAAGCATTGATTACAATATTGTAACCTCTGTGCACCTACCCTACTAGATTCCTACATCACTCAAAGGTTGCCTGGTAGAGAATGCCCAGGGATATTAAGTCCGACGATGTACATATCTGCATAAAGATGCAAATAAATAAATATGTAACGAAATTCTTTATATGCATACATTTTTTTGCCATGTAAAAAATATATCACTAACTTTATTTCTTATCGATACACACACAATCAAAATTGAATTATCGCAATTGACCTTAATCATATAAAAAAGTGAAAGATCACAGTAAGTTGTAAGGTGGTTGATAGTACAGCGATATAAAAACCAGAATCATCTGTTTAAGCATTGGAGTGATTTACTAAATGCCCAGAGTCAATTAGAGCTTACTTAATTAAAATGTTTCGTTCACGACTAATATTTTTTGTACTAAAATTAATTTTATTAAATTCAGTCTACAGTAAGTAAAAATCTAACTTTCTTTTGTAATTCACGTATTTACATTGCTTAATTAAATTCATTTTATTGATTGATGTTTTAATTTCAGGCAATAAGGTATGCGATTATAAGGACGTAAAATGCCAAACAATTGGTGCAAACAAGACTTTTAAGAATGTCATACTGGGAGTCACAGGCGTAATAGAACCAAGCGATCCAATATATTTACCGGACTGTGAGGGCGAAATGATTACTGAAAAAGTTTTAAAGTATAAAATAAGGAATGGCACGCTGTCAGGAATGAGCAGTTGTCGGTTTACATATCACAAGTAAGTTTTTAAAATACTTAATTTATAATATCAAAGACCTCTAATATCTTTTCAAAGTTAACATTTGGTTTTTTTTCTAATGTTATGGTATGATTATGATGATAATAGTGATTGAGGATGATTTTTGTAGATTGAATGGCGAAGACTCAACATACAGATCTGTACTTTTGTGCGATCAATTGGTTTTAAGTCATTATTTTGAAGCTAAAGGATATATCGGTCCCGTAGAAATTGATGGACAAGGTTATCTCGATCTTACGTTAAGTAAGTATTTTCAGATTCATTAGTAATTATTTTCATAGCAAATAAAGTCCATGGATCTACGATTCCTTTCTCGCTTATAATGTCAAATCTCACTCGGATCTGTTCAATTTCTTCAGTGATACATATTTTTCTTTACGGAATCTATGTAAAGTATTTTTTTAAAGTCGGCTACAATGTGATAATCCATGTTTCTTTTAGATGATTACGTGATCAAATTTAGTGGTAAATTCGAGGAATTCACTTCCGAAATTGATAAACAGCTACACTATCATATTAAGACTTGTCATTATGGATTTGAACCCAGAGGTGAAGTGGAAGTTGATATCAAATCTCCTCTGCACAGTGACAAAACTAAATGTAAGTTTTTAAATACCTTTAGACTTTTATGACAAGCTGAGCGTGGGAGAGCCATGGCTCTGCATGAATGGTCCGGCTCGACCGGAGTGATATCACGGCCTCACAGAAAACCGGTGTTAATTCAATTCTTTCGTTGCCTTTCACTGAGTGAGTGAGGTTACCGTAGCCATAATCCCCCCTCCAAGGGCAGCAACGCACCTGTGACCTTTGAGTTGCAGGTGTCCATGGGTGGCTGTAGTTGCTTACCATCAGGTGACCCTTCTGCTCGTTTGCCCCCTTATACCATAAAAAAGCTAGTTACAAATCTAAGATTAATACATTAACATAATTAAAAATATGATAAAACTAAAATTAGAGAAAGAGAATGTTAATATTAAGTTGACAGAATTTTATTTTAGAGATTTAGACTCTCAGAATTTAATTTACGGCGCATAATACAAAATTGACGCCATTGCTCTAAAAATCACTTCATTATATAATTGAACTCATAGGTGGTTGGGCGTTTCGCTATTGCTCGTTGGCACGAGTTCAGTATCTTCTAGAGTTAGTATCGGTCCTCGAGCATTAGAACTTCTCTTTGTCGTTCCGTTCCGGACTTATTTATGCAATGTAACACAAATGTAGTTTGTCTTAGACACGTTTATTAATCTAAACACGAATTTCATCCATTAACATTCTAAACTTTTAAATTACAAACTATACAGTCTAGATTGTACTTGTAGATTGAGTACTTACTGTAGGTATTTAAATAAATAAATTTACTCATTTTAAATGCCAATTTTAAAATCTTACGCAAATATACGTGTTAAATCAATATTTCGAGCATTCAGAGATTCAATTTACCTATATTAGCAAAATGAAAAATATGTTTTATTTTTCAGCTGATTTGGCTAAGGCCTATTTGAAAGAACATCCGAGTAAATTAGAAGAAGGGGCTCATTCACCAGTCTTAGAAAACTACATGAAAATATTCATTAAGAATCTAGACACCTATTTAGGAGCTGTACCTGCCGACGTAGTGCTGCCTGCTGCCAAGAAAAATATTTGAATAATAAATTTATACTACTACTAATAACCTTTATACTACTTATAAAAATCTACCCATAGAAGTCACTGTAAACACTAAACTACAAGCACACGAGCTCAAAGATGTGTAACAACAAAGTTTTTAGAACCCTGAAGCGGGGTCATATATCAGATGAATTTATGTCAACATTAATTAAGGACAAACCTTTTTACATATATTGTGTGTGTGTGTAGGAGTAAAGTTATTTCGTTGTAGAGTTTAGTGTCCTTTGTGCGGGTGTCGGCTGTCTGAAGTTCTGACCAAGTCTTTGCATAAAAGGTGAAGAGATCATCAGCGTGATTAGCGCATTTAGCATTAGATATGTTAAGATTGTTGAACTCGTTTATGTAAATAAGGAAAAGGGTGGCTCCTAACATGATACCTTAATGATTATAATAGCTATAATAATGATCTATAATAGCTCGTCACACACTACAGTGATGAATTGAGTGTGATTTGTGAGGTATCTTTCAAAAAGTTCCCCTGACACCTATGTTCTTTAACTTAGGGAAGAGTGTGGAGATGTAACGGTATCGAATGCTTTCCCAAAATCTTTGAACTTTTTTTAACGTTCAAAACTTTCATTTTCGAAGTTAAATTTTCCACCATAAAGTTCTTACAGGTAGTTGACAGGAGGTGACAGTAGATTGAAGTGTTGTAGGTAGTTTACTAGACAAATTGTAAAAAGGCGTTCAAGCAGCGGTAGTTATTTGGCAAATTCCCGTCGCCATCTTTCAAAAGGGGTGGTAGATTTTAACATAACCATTTGAAAGTAATGATTGAAGTTTTGGTAGAGTGCAAGTGCTAGAGATAGATATCCTCATTAAAAAATGTGGAATATAGGGTAAATATACATACATACCTACGTACCAAATACATACATAATTTCTTATCTAGTTACACACGTACATAGACCTACACATGAATAATATAAAAAACTATAAGGTTGTAATGAATCTACTAGGGTGTCCATAATGTGACCTTGAACTTTCATCTTGAATGAGTGGTGGCTGAGTGCTATCCTGATTTTTAGAGGAAGAGCTTAATTTGTTTAAAAAAAATTAAGCAAATTTTAATCTTTAACTGTAAAATTACTGATTTACAGATCCGACATGATCTGTTAATACGGACAGACGAGATACATGAATACATTTTCATACACTTACATAATATCACACTCTCTTCTTCTAGAATTTATATGATATATCAATCTGGTATGTCAATGTGTGAATGTGTATAAATACGTATTTATTAAATGTGTTGGTATAATTATTACCTACTTGTTGTAGATGTATTACTTTATTAAAAAAATACTTACATGTTTTATTTTTTTTTCGAACGGAATCTATAATTATGATTACTTTTTGTGCATCTACCGTGTTTTCGTTCTGCATCGCCCTAAGGTCAACTGATAGAAAATGCCTACGGCATTAAGTCCCCCTTTATCACGTTTATAATGTGCATAAAGAATAAATACATAAAAATACTTACCCGTACAGCACACAGTTATTGAAGAGATAAATAGTGATCCTTGACGAGTTTTATTAACTACAATTAGGGTTTACTGCCCTATAGACATTATAGTACAGTAAGTGCATAAACGCGAGATAAACGCGGTTAAAGTTTCAAATTAAGGAAAAACATATAATCAAACGTGTTTTGTATTCTTTTTTTTTGTTAGAGGGGCAGACGAACAGACGGGTCACCTGATGGAAAGTGACCATCGCCGCCCATGAACGTCTCCAACTCTGGAGTCACAAACGCGTTGCTGGTCTTTTAGGAAGGAGTACGCTCTTTTCTTGAAGGTTCAAAGGTCTTATCGGTCCGGAAATACCGCAGACGATAACCAGTTCCACAGATTGCTCTCAAACTGAGCTGATACGACAAATGGTATCTTTTTTGCGCTGAACGCACAACCTGTGTTTTTTTTTTGGGTTGAACTGGGCTAGATTTAGTCGGCCCCAATCTGAAACCTCCGCTAAGGAAAGTTAAATTTCAGACACAAGTTTGTGTCGACTCTCGATGACGTTTTCCCGAGAAAAATTTGGGCGGCCGGTATAAATGGCATCTCCCGTACTATCATCTGCATAGCAATGGATGCTACTAGTTTGCAACATGTCATTGATATGCAGAAGAAACAGTGTGGGTAGCACACAGCCTTGTGGGACACCAGCATTTACGAATTTCAATTCAGATCATGCACCGTCGACACAGACCTTAATGCTTCTGTCCGCAAGGAAACTGGTGACCGAATTACATAATTTCTCGGGAAGCCTAAAGGAAGGGAGCTTCGAGAGAAGCGCCTCATGCCAGACCTGTCTGGTCGTCTGCCCCCTCTAACACAAAAAAAAGGCTTTCGCTAAGCTTCTTCTTTGGTCTCGATCGCCTGTGCCCACCGGTGTGTTAAAAAGACGAGAAGATCACCAGATTCCATAAATTAGGGAACAAAGGAGTTATATAGGCCTGTAGTTGGACTGGCCAGAGCGGACACCTTTTTACTGATATCCGACATATAGCTCTAGCACCGCGGTATGGTGGGCGGTACGTTTCTCCCGTCATCCAAAGTCGAGTTGGATGCAAAGAAATTGCCTAGGAGATTGGCTTTCTCCTTGGCATCATAGGCTAATGAATCATGTCCCACCTGCAGGGGTAGAAAGGTTTGGCTACAGAAGTTCCCCTTTACAGCCTTGGCAAGAGACCAGTTCCACGAGTTCCAGAAGGAAGTCTCACTAGTCTCTCACCGATCCGGTCCGGCTTTTTATTTAAAATTTTTTAAAGCAAGAATGTGGTCTAAAATATAACCGAATACGTTGTTTTTTTTTTTTTTTTTTTTAATTTAAATAATATTAATTTTACAAGCATATTACTGCCAAAGATTTTTTTAATTTACCATCTAAAATGCAGTAAAAAACCGCAATAACAGTACATACTAAAGTACAGTAATATTAAGTTTTTACTGTAATTTAAAAGGTATAAGGTAGGAAGGAAAAATCTTAAGGAGACTTGCAGTGCACTAAAAAAAATCTCACAGTATAATATACATCATAAGTCACATTTGCTATATCTCATTTACCTAATAATATAAATAACAAAAAAGCATAGAATAACAACTAAAACTAATCTCGTTTTCTCTTCTGTAGAATCACAATCAAATCACATCAACAGCCTTTAGTAGTCCACTGCTGGACATACTCGTAAGCCTCTTCTTAGAAAGGAGGTTTAGGCCTACTATACCACACTGGCCAGACGGGTCGGTATAAGGTTTGTGACAAGTTTTAATTCTTTTTGCAGTGCTGTTGTCCTGCGTAGTTTGTTCCCTTAGTCGGCTCCTATGACACCCACGGGATAAATAGGGGTGGCGACATTCCGTCACCACACGTAATAATTTCTTAATATTTATTTTTAGTCTTGAGACAACAATTATTCTAAAAACTTTTACAACGCATTTTACAACTTCTTGTCAAACGGATTATACTGCAAAACAAGCAAATCATAGTGTATTTCAATCAACTATTAGCGCCGTTCTACTGTCACTTGTCAATTTAATTTATGGAACTATAAATTTTACTTTATGTTAAGTTTAAAATCAAAAGCCATTATCTTCCACAGTTTTTATACTAAAGGTGTATTCAATGTACTAAACTATGTTAAATAAAAACCTGTAAACAAACCAACATTAAACCTTCTATAATCTATAAAACTAGAGTTTCATTTAAAATAATTAAATTGAGGTTCTCCATTGAGCTACTGTGCTTTAATTGGTAATTCAAAAAAACATATCCAGATTTAGGTTAGATTAGATTTAGGTAATTATCGGTATAACAGCTACATACCCAAGGTTTCTAGATCTTTTAATAGACTAAACCACAGTGAACTCATAGATCTATTCTGCAGTAGCACCAGAAACCTCAAAAATGTTATATCTTTAGATCCTAAACTGTATGTAACTATCTATGTATGTATGTAACTATCTATGTATGTGTAAGTCTATTTAGTATGTATTATTATAGATACCAGCACTGTCTTCTGTCTACATGTGGAAGCTTGTAAATGGCATCTAGATAATTAACATAATATGTATTTTGTAAATTTAGCCGTAAGCTCCCTAAATATAATAAAATATAATAAAATAAAATAAAATTTCGGAAGTACAGTAAGAAACAGTTGTATGCGAATCACATTTACTACATTTTAATTCGTTTTTTTTTACCATCGTCCCATAAGCAGTTACTAACTATCATGCAGTAAAGATTATCAAATACTGTTTTTTAATTAGTAAATACTTAAAATTCGCCAAATTTAGCATTATAACTGTATAGTATATATTTAGTAATTTAACTATTTAAAAAAAAAAAAAAAAAAAAAAACGGAAATTAAAGAAAGAGAAAAAAAATCTCGATTCCATTAAAGTTATTACCTCAATAACGTCAATTTGATACTTACTTTACTTTAATGTTTGTAAGGCAGTTCAGGTCAAGAGACTTAGGACATCAACTCTCAAAGCAAGAGAAACGACATACGTCGCTAGGCAAAACCTAAATATAAATTACTTTCCCTAATTGACTTACCGATTTATCAACGCAGAGCCTAAACCGCTGAGATACAAACTTGAAATTTCAGCAGCTGATGTTTTTTATGTTATAAGCAGCCAACAAGAAAGGGTTTTTGGAATTTCAGCCCTGAGAAGGCAAATTAAGGGATGGAGGGACATGTGGAAGTTCTTTGTTTTCATAGTTAGAAACACAAAATAAGAAATAATCACTGTCCGACTTGTACAAACATCTGAAAAGATTTAATTGCAGAAATAAACATCATTTCGTTTCACTCCACGGGGGCAAATCCGCAGGCAATAAATAGTTCTTAATTTGCATACTTTATAAGCGCTATAAAAAGTATATCTCTGCCATTATTGTTTATCGCTAACAATGATTGTAGTTCATGCACTCTATTGTGTTATCAAAATTGACCTAACCTGTATAAAAAAGATAATGGCAGTACTTTATAAGGCGTTTGATAGTACTAGGAGATATATTCAGAATCTTCTATTTAAGCACTGGAGTGTTTTATTGAACGCACAGAGTGCATTGCAACTTAATCAATAAAATGTTTTTTTCACGACCAATATTTTTTGTACTAGGATTGGTTTTATTAAATTCAGTCCACACTCGTAGTAAGAACAAATCTAACTATATTCTGTAATTTACGCATTTTCAGACTAATTAACTTTATTTTACTGCTTAATGTTTTAATTTTAGGCAATAAGGTATGCGATTTTAAGGACGTGAGATGCTTAACAAATGGCGCAAATAATAATTTAAAGAAAATGATTCTGGGAATCAAAGGCGTAGTCGAGTCAAGCGATCCATTACATTTACCGGAATGTGAGGGAGAAATGAAAACTGAAAAAGTTTTAAAGTACAAAATAAAGAATGGCACGCTGTCAGGAATGAAGAGTTGTCGCTATACATATCATAAGTAAGTATTTAAAATATTTAAATTTTCCCTCACTCTTATATCATTGCCACGTTAACATTTGGGTTCCAAACAATTATTTTCTAATGGTCTGGTATAGATCATGATGACGATATGATCTTTCAGTTAAATAGGTAGGTTTTCTCTTTTTTTTCTCTTTAAAAATACGACTCCCGCATTAGCAAGGTATCCTGTGTCGCGGGGGGACTTTACAAACATACATTAAACGGACACAAAGAACACCTAGACTTAGGCCACCAATTCGTGGATCACACAAAGTGTCGTCATATGTAGGGATCGGACCCACAACACTCAGCGTAGTTGAAAGCGGCGCGGCGTGGCGATCGCTTAAACCACTACGCCATCCGTGCAGTGCAGGTGTACTTAAATATTTTATTTTTATTTTTGTAGAATGTTTGCCGAAGACTCGACGTACAGGACAGAATTTTTGTGTGATCAATTGGTTTTAAGTCATTATTTTGAAGCTAAAGGATATATTGGTCCCGTAGAAATTGATGGACAAGGTTATCTCGATCTTACATTAAGTAAGTATTTAAAACTACATTAATAATGTCATAGAAATAATATAGATATTAGATATACCATACCATATCAATCAGACATATTTGCTTCCGTAGTTCATTTCCCTTAGTACAATCTGTAAAGAGCGAAAGACTCAAGACTGTTTGGCAGATATTTAGAATATATGTTAGGGCTCGTGCAGCGTGCAAGCGATGTCGCGTGATTTCGGCCGCGCCGACTCTCGGGGACTTAATAAAATGTATAGAACTAGTAAGAACCAAACGCAAGTCGTCGTAATACTTGTTGACTTGACTTGACTTGCCAGAGGTGGATTGTGACTGCGGAGTGCAACTTTTTTGTTATCAATTATTTTGTAATAATGGACGCTGGAAACTTAATAGATGCAATTCGTAACCGCCTGTAAATCTTCTCCTTCTTCTCATGCTTGTGATGGCATGAATCCGTAACACAAAATTTTCCAACAAAAAAGTTCTGTGCTAAATCCATTCCCAAAATAGCCGAACACACAAAATATCCGAACGATGTGTGTATTAAGATTCCTGTAGATTTCGTACTTGTTAAAGTACGTGACGGAATATAGTGTAGTTTTACTGGGCTTTAATACTGCTAAACACATAGTTTTCTATGCGAAAAATTTAGGTATATATTTTTAAAGTTGGCTACAAATATGACGATCCCTACTTTTTTAGATAATTACGTGCTCAAATTTAACGGTGAATTTGGGCAATTCATTTCGGAAAAAGATCAAAAGCCACACTGGACTATTAAGACTTGTCATTATGGATTTGAACCCAGAGGTAAAGTGGAAGTTGATATCAAATCTGCGGTGCACAGTGACAAAGCTAAATGTGAGTATATTAAAATATTTATACAGTGTTATAACTACTCGTCTATTACGTTTATGAATTACTATTATTAGTAGTAGTACGCATTGTCAATATTTTGTTAGTAAATTTTAAAACTAATTTTCAACAAAGTAGTAGAAAATGGCTTAGACGGTAAGTTCGTCAATTTACCAAATGTGCATAGTTTATAAACAAATAATATATGGTTGGCAGAATTTTATTTTGTACTTATGACAGTGTTCTTAGATGTTTGATTTACGGTAATACAAAGTAGTAGTTATGACGTAAGCATGGTCTAAAAGCGCGTTACTTTCATATTGCACAAATAATGGCGTTGGTGCGAAGTCAGTAAAGCCTTCAACAATTAGCATCGCCCGCAAGAAATAGTGTCTAAATGACTCGTTCGTATGTGTATATACCTATATAAAACATTAGTACTTAATATAGTCGTACAATACCGTGATGAAAGTACACTGATGTATGGCATCAAACTTTTTAAATTATGAAATTCGGGACAGAAGAGCAGAGACACAAAATGGGTGACCTGCTAGTGTGTGACTACCACTGTCTTGAACACCTGCAACTCATGACACACAAGTACGTTAGAGTTAGAGGGGGAAGAGGCCCGGCAGGGCCACTGGTAACCTCACCCGCCGAAAAGAATTATTTAATACCGGTTTTATGTGAGGCCGTAGATATTACTCCAGTTGAGCGAATTGTATGATAGGAATATGTATTCTGATTTAGATGATACCAATATAAAAAAAACAACACAAATATAAAAAAACAAAAATCAATGTTTTTAAGAATTATTAGAATCAGTCTTATTTATATTCAAAAAGTAAAAATTTTTTTTTTCTTTGCAGCTGATTTGGCTAAGGCTTATTTGCAACAACATCCGAATTTACTAGAAGAAGCAGCACGTTATCCAGTCTTAGAAAACTACATGAAAATATTCATTAAGAATCTTGACACCCAATTAAGAGCAACCCCTGCCGACGAAGTTCTGCCTGCATTAAGTTAAATTATGAAGGCAGCTGCTGAGAAAAATATTTAAATAATAAATTTATACTATTAGTAACCTTTATACTACTTATAAATAATCTACCTATAAGAGTCACTGTAAACACTAAACTACAAGCACCGGCACTTACCTGCAAGTCAAGTACAACGCAGAGTCAGCTGATAAGAAAAATATTTTAATAATAAATATTTACATTTTTCAATTAATTTTCATTGACTGCTAAGCTACACCAGTTTTATTTAATACCTGCAATTAGAGTTTGGGTCTTGGGACTTAGGAATTCATCATCATCATCAACAGCTTGATAGTCCACTGCTGCACATAGGTCTTTCCTAAGAAAGAAGGTTCTGGCCTACTATACCCTACCAGCAAATCGGATTGGAAGTCCCAGCTAGACCCAGTGGTCTCAGCTGTGTTTTGATAGGTTAGTCAATGGATCAGCCAGTCAGTTTCTAATTTTATATAACACAGAAAAATAGATAAAAGAAAGAAAGAAAAAGAAGTATCGAAGAGATAAAATGAAATTACGTTAATACGTAATTCATTCGTTTGTGAATTAAATAACAAGTGTTCCTAGTTAATTCATTCAAAAAATAATTGAGTCTCATTTCTCATTCGATTTTATATGACGTCATCGTTATGCATGCAATAATGCTCCTGTACAATTTACCTGTAATTTTTTTCTGTTTTTAAAAATACTTTATAGATATAATAAATAAAAGAAAGACATAATTTAAAAAAAACTAAAACTAACTAAATTCTTAACGGCGGATATAATTTAAAGGCTCCTTGAAGATCATTATTTCATATAAAATTATATTGAACCGACACCGATATTGATTCTCGATTTTATGTCTGTCGCAACCTCGAATGTCTTAAAACAGATCTGTCACGGTCATGTGTAATCTTAAGACAACTTCATTTGCATTGCACATATTAAGGTGCATAAAAAAAAGGGTGGAAAAAGGATGTGAAGTGAATGTTGGAGCAAGCTCCTAAGCTTCTAACTTTAAGGTGCAGGTCTATACGGCATGATGGAAGCTGTCTATGATCCAATCGTCATATGTCTATTCCCCCGCAATTGCCACTCGACCCGGACAACATTTCCATGAGTTAATGTGTTTTTTTATGATAGATAAATATCCCTTAGTAACGATGGTCGAATTACGATCATAAAATATACTGTTTAGGGGTCACTACTTTGTTTAGACTATTAAATTGAAGCATAAAATTTTTAGAACGACGTAGATAATAATATTAATAATATTCTACCACATTGACTTGAGCGGCCCGCGACCTTTGAAATATCAGTCCGTTACACAAACCACTACGCCATCCGGTAGTCATAATTTTATAACATCCTTAAGGCAATTGAATTTTAATAGAAGCTTATATTTCTTAGGTAAGAAAAAAAATAGGTGGTTATTTTACGATCATGGTCATGTTTCTATCTGAGTAATTGAAAATACAAAAGCGTTACAAAACAAAACTGTGAAAATGAAATAGTTGTATGTAATAACTTGCATCGACATGGTGAGAGCTGAACATTTTGTTGTACAATGTTTAGTGTTAATTTATATTTTATTTGTAAGTTGTTATTTTTAGTTGTATTTAAATCTGCAAATTTTACTTTTGTTTTCAACTACCTACATGTTTTTTTTTTTGTTATTTTTGAAAATACAATTATTTCAGAATGTGAATGCAGAACATCATCGAGATAATGCTTTGGGATTTTTATCTAGGATTCTTGGCAAACGCTTTCAAAATCCGATAATAGCAATTATTGATACAGGTTCTACATTTAAAACACCTCTAAGAACCGTTGATCTTCAAAATAAAAATGTAGATGAAAAAAAAGCTTTGCTTTATTTAAAGGACATAATACAGGTATGTTATTTGAAACACAATGTCCTCAATACAATATCCTAAATATGACTCCTGTCACCATACACATACTTAGGGCATACTAAAAGTATCTGGATTCTGATAAATAAGACTACATAAAAGACTAACGATACATTTCTTGTTTTTCTAAGTATATTCCCTCGCAATGAATGGATTTTTGCATTTGCTGAAACCACTCTTCAAAGTAGTTGGACCGAGTCTTTCTTAGAGACCTCTTCAACGGCTTCATGTAACGCATTCACCGCCGATTCAGGGCTCATAAAACGTGTGCCTCTAAGTTTATCTTTAATATTTTTAAGCAAAACGAAGTCTCAGGGTTCGCCCCCTGAGACTTCGTTTCCAGGCTTGGTTTCAGGCTGTAAGGCGGATATGTCATCCGTTGCACATTTGAAGCCTTCAAATAGGCTTCTGTTACCTTAGCGGAATGTGACATTGCTTCGAGGACGCTTTTCGCGGTCTTTTTCTAAGACTCTGGACAAGCAAGTGTTGATGTACCAATCTGCACTGACCTTTGATCTTCAAGCGATACTGTAGTATAATGTCCTAATTTTCCGAAAAAAGAAGCAACCATTGTTTGCTTCGACTTTTCTTAACTGTCGCCAGCCAACCTTCACGTACCTCGTCATGGAGAGGATCACGTCCACGTCTAAATTCTTAAAATCACGAATACACAGAGCTGCAACGTCGGTGCTTCATCACCAAATGCCACTTGAAGTCTCGGGCTACTCTCTCGTTTTCTTAAGCTACAACGAAAATCATAAAAAACATTGACGGAAGGACGTCACAATGAAAAAACAAATGACGGTCTCGCAAATTAAAAAGTAACATATTCCCAAAGAGTTCCATTTTTGAAATTCCGTAATTGTTTTTCATTATTTTATTGTAAGTGGCCAAATCCAGAGACTTTTAGTATGCCCCACGTTTTATAAACATATTTAAATCATGTATTTATCTATGTTTGACGTAGACTTATAACTATTAGAGGAAAACCTACTGATTTCAACTTGAAAAATAAAAGATGAGATCATCTCTAAGTAACTAAATAATATGAGAAGGTCATAATAGAAAAAATCGTCTGCTGTATTTCCGGACCGATACGACCTTCAAACCTTCAAGAAAAGAGCGTACTCCCTTCTAAAAGGCCGACAACGCGTTTGTGACTCCTGAGTTGCAGACGTTCATGGGCGGCGGTAGTCACTTTCCATCAGGTGACCCGTCTGCTCGTCTGCCCCCTCTAACGTAAAAAAAATACCCCGAAGTGTGGTGACGGATGGAGGAGGAGGGGACCCTAAGCCCTAAGATGCAAATCATTTTTAGTCAACAGGTGATGAAAATAATCCCAACGTGAAGAGAACTAATGAGAAATTTGGAAATGCTCTTCGTACTCGATGTGAAAAATACATTGAATGTAAAATAAAATGTAAAAAGAAGAAGGACCCTTGTGAGAATATTTGCCAAAATAAATATGATGATCTAAATGTGTGTGAAACTACCAAAGACAAATGGCTCACGAAGACCAACAGACAAGTCTATAACTACCTAAAAAAAAATCCACCTCAGTACAACAAAAACAAATTTACTTCTACTAAAGGTCCAAAATGGGCTGATTCAGACGAATGTAAATCTAGTGATGAATGTGAATCTAGTGATGAATGTAAAACTAGTGATGAATGTAAGATCGAAATTCCTATCAACTGTGAGTCCAGTGATAGTTGTAATTAATCGTTGACAACAAAATATATAAAATATTTTCATAATCAAAACGATTTTTTCTTTTATTTCCATGTAAAGGTCGATTTCAACAACAGCTATCATAGAGACTACTGTTGTTAAAATCGACCGTTACTTGGCAGCTCATTGCTGAGTAAAAAAAAGATGCTTGTTTTCAATATTTTATTCGCCTGAAATAAGTATCTGTTTGGACCTATATTTCTATCTCTTTGTTAATCACTTAGTAAATATGGATCAGCAGGCGCAATCGTAATAAAAGTTGGGTTAAATTTAAGTTCCAATCAACTCTCGACCTCGCAACTGTAATAAAATGTATTTTCATAGTAAAATAGTATTACTAAGACTAGCAGATTACTGATTCAATTTTCGATTACACTAAGGTATAATCACATCACTATTGTGTAGCTTTCATCCGAGGTTATGCTCGTAAAAACTTATTTAAAATGAAATTTGAAATTAATTCAACTTCTACATTGAACTAACACGGGTTAAAAATGAACATACGAGTAGATTATCTTGCACTGCTTTTGAACCAAATTGAAAAAAGAAAGAGGTTTTCAATTCAGTTGTTTTATTACTTTTTATGTTTATTACGGATTAGAGCGCTGAAATGGCAATGGGCAGGGCACACAGCAAGGAGAACTGACGGCTGATGGGACAGCAAGGTTCTCCAATGGAGACCACGTACTGGAAAGCGCAGTGTGGGACGACCGCTTACCCGATGGACGGACGACCTGGTAAAGGTTGCCGGAAACCGTTGGATGCAGGCCGCAATCAACCGTCCCCGCTGGAAATCATTGGGAGAGGCCTATGTCCAGCAGTGGACAAGCATAGGCTGAGGTGATGATGTTTATTACCTCAGAACTTTGTCATTTATGAACCAATTTGGAAAAATATTTTCATCCAATGTTTAAGGCAATCAGCAATTACGAAACGATTTTGAAGTTTCAGTTGAAACTTTTCAGTTTTTATGTTGAAGTGTAAAGTGCCTTTTACTGGTCGGTAATCACTACCGGTATTAAACCTCTTCACCTGAATTGTCTCTATGACATCACACAAAATATAGTTCCTATCCATAATGATATAGTCTTTCTTAACCTTGTTCACGTTTTCGGGACTTTACCATTTTCACTGTCTTTCTTCTTAGAGAAAGAGTTCATTATGAAGAGTCTCTGTGATTCTAGAAAGTTGACTCCTATTTATCCTAAGTTGGTACTTATCCTTGGTGTCCTAAATCCATGTCCGGAGTGTCACCAACCCTGTTCATACCGTAGGTGTCGTAAAAGCCGACTATTGGAGCAAATTAGAGCAGGATAGTAGCACTACAAAGACAAGGAAAACCTAAAACAAACCATATACTAATCTGTCTGCCCGGTATGGTATAGTAGGCCGACAACTCTTTTCTAAGAAGCATTAAAGAAAACTGGTATAGCTTAGCAGTCAATGAACATTTGATGAATAAGGTAAATATTAATGATTTAAATATTTTTTATTAGCTGACTCCGTGTTGTACTTAACTTGCAGGCAGCACTTCGTCGGCAGGGGTAGTCAAAATTCATTGGGTGTCAAATCAATTGGGTGTCAAAATTCTTAATGTATTTTTTCATTTAGTTTTCTAAGGCTCTATAATGTGCCGGTTTTTCTAGTAAATTCGGATGCTGTTGCAAATAAGCCTTAGCCAAATCAGCTGCAACGTTTATTTACAGCAAAAAATATTTCTTTCTTTTTGAATATAAATAGGACTGATTGTAATAATTCTTGGAAACATTGTTTTTTGTTTTTTTTTACGTTGTTTTTTTAATTTGGTATCATCTATATCAGTACACATATTTATTAGATAAACTTAACGCCTATAGTAAGTACTATATCAGTAAACAGTACTCTGGACTGAACAGACACACACACACACACACACTTAACTCTCAACCATTAATTATGCGAACACTTCATTAGCTCCTCCCAAGTTACATTCCGCTGTCAAAAGTCTGGAGAGGCCGGTAATCTGTAATGCAGGTATCCCAGGTAATATGAAAGTAACGTGCGTTTAGACCATGATTACGTCATAACAACTTTGTATTATCGTAACAAGAATCAATCACAATCAAAATTAAACATCTAATAACACTGTCTTTATGTACAAAATAAAATTCTGGCAACCATATATTATTTATTTACACACTATGCACATTGAGTACATTGACGGACTTACCGCATAACCTCTTTTTTTCAAGTCAATAATTAAGAGATGCAGAGAAAATTAAAATTTACTAACAAAATATTAACAATGCGTACTACTAATAATTATAGTAACAGAGGAGTGGTTATAATACTGTATAAATATTTTAATGTACCTTTTTCGCTGTGCACCGGAGATTTGATATCAACTTCCACTTTACCTCTGGGTTCAAATCCATAATGAAAAGTCTTAATGGTCAAAGGTAGCTTTTGATCAATTTCAGAAATGAATTTCCCGAATTCATTTGCTAAATTTGAGCGCGTAATTATCTAAAAAAGTATGGATCATCATATTTGTATCCGATCTTCGCATGAAAAACTATGTATTTCAACAAAATTAGAATATAGTAAAACTAAACCAAATTCCGTCACGTGCTTCAAGAAGTACGAAATCTACAGGAATATTAATACAATACATCATTCGAATATTTTATGCATAAGGACTCATGCAGCATGGCAGCGATGCGCGTCAATTCAAAATTTAGTTGCCTACTTGTTGCTAGAACTGAACATACACATTGTTTGGTTTCGTGAAGAAGAGTACTTGAGCGGAAATGGATTTAGTACAGAACTTTGATCGTGGAAATTTCTGTATTACGGATTCATGCCATCAAAAGACTGAGAAGAAGGAGAAGATTTACGATTTGCGTCTATTAAGTTTCCTTTATCCATTATTATAAAACGAATAAAATAATAGATAACAAAAAAGTTGCGCTCCGCAGTCATAATGCACCTCTGGCGGCTAGTCGGTGCAAGTCTTGCGACCACTGGTCGTCTGTCGCAGGCTCGCTGCACTAAGCCGTTTAGTTCTTATCAGTTCTATCAAGTCCCCGCAAGTCGGCGAGACCAAAGGAATACCAAATTGATAAAACTTGACATTCCGCTTGACGTTCTATTCGTATTATAGACAAATTACACTATATTATGTGTCAAATTTCACAAAATGTCGTACCAATAGTTGCCAGTATCTTACCATGTAGTAGTTATTAAGTAAATATAGGATTAACATTATTTATAAGGTTGAAGAAAATAATGAAATGGAAAATACGATCATGTCGTACATACCCCTGAATTCGTAAAGGCAATAGGCGAGATATTGGGACACTAACGCTTTTGGTGGCAGCAGCGTCATCTATCCTTTGAAAATGTCTACTATACAACATTAAAAAGATGAGGGGTGAAAATAGTTTCACAGATCATAACAGAGAGGGCGCTCTTTCAAAGAGGACGCAGTCATAATTGTACTGATTTGACTTACGTTTCATGAGTATTTCCTTCAATATTGAAAACAAAATGACAAGATCTCAGGCAACATTTCTTAAATTTTATACATAAACCAAGTTGCTACTCTGGGAGAGTATTTTATTTACTTATATTAATTAATTTTATTATAAAGGGATTTTATCTGTGCAACCATTCATCATGTTGGATATTTACTAGGTATAATAAAAACAATAGCAATTTGTTGTTTAATTGGAAGCTGGTGAGGAGTCTACCTAACAGAAAAAAAAACGTAAAGGAGTGCATTTATTTAAAACACTTATAATAACACCATTTTTTGAAACACGTTATAATAATTTGTAGTTGCTTGCATTGCAACTGATTTTATTGTCATTTTATAAACATACGTAAGTACAAATAGGTTATAAAAAAGGATTTAGAGTAAAAAAAACTATTGTATTTTATAGACATATGACCTTTAGTCACTTGAGCAGTGTCCTGTACTTCGAGACTGCATGCAAATTTAAATTCTCTGGTTTTAATGATAACGTTAACTTTTAAGTTAGCGATATCTCTGAAAATATCAATTAAACCATGTCTCATATTACGAAAGAATATCATCAGTTATTGTCAAATCTGAGTAGAGTTTTAAACGTGTAATAACGTGTGCGTGTAGAAAATCCTCCCTAAATTTGACAACCGGCCAACACCCAAACACCATTCAAGTCTGACATTATTTATTGTAAATACTTTTCGATATACCCTCCACTAAAAAAACTGCGTAAACATAAGGGATCGTAATAAATTAAATGATAAGAAATCTCCACAGAACCCACGGAATTGATAGGTGAGCCCTACGAAAAGCTCTTCAATTTATTATGGCAACATTTCGGGTACAATTTTTATAGAACCCTATCTAAATAGTGATTTTATCTTAGTTCTGTATGGTGTTGGTTCAGATATTTAATAGCCTTGAAATTATAAAATAGGATATAAAGTAGCTACGTAATGTTCTGTAAATATATTATGCAATAATGCTACCAAGATTACAGCTAAATGATTTCAAAAAAGGTGATGGCACCTACGCGTCCGTATAAATGGTTTTGAACAGACACACAAAAGTGCCTCTTCCAGGGTGTGGTTCGAGCGTCCCGTAACCGTTTTGTCCGTTTTGTATGGTGACGGATTAAGAATAGGAAGTGTAACCACCCCTATTCCTCCCGTGGGTGTAAGAGCAGCCTAAGGGAGCAAACTGCGGAGGACAACATCGCTGCAAAGAGATGGAAACCTAGACACAAACCCTATACCAACCATATAGTAGGCATAAACCTAGGCATATCACCTGTATGCAGATAACTTGCGAAACGCCACATTAAGAGTTTAAGACATCAACTGGTACCCGACGGTTTTTGGTCGATTCGAATCCGACCTAACCACCGGGTGGTATCCGAGGGGATTTTTCACAAAGGAACAAAAAAAAGGAAGGGGGGTAAAAGTCCCTTACGTGTTATTTTTATGAAAATGGTGGTGTTTTC